GTCTAATGCTCATTAACATTTGAATGGCCAGACACCCCGTGTATGCAGTTTTATTTCAGAGATATATTTATATAAATGCTGATGAGCATTGGGGGTTATATGGCTTATGGCTCGTCCACAATCTAAGGTGGAAAGGACTAAACAACTTGATCTTGCTTGTCAGAACCATGCAGCCCGCCCCTGAGACTACAGTTTATATCCAGAGCTCAAACCTTCTCATTGTTTCTCATTCTTTGTTTTCATTGTTGAACAACAATGCTTTACAGATGCCCGTGTTCATTTACATTTGAATGGCTACTTGCTCTACTTTTGAAAATTGCATAATTAGACTTCTACATGAAATAAACATGCCCATCCAAGCATGAAAATGATCAAAACTTTATCTAAATTGATCTTAGTAGTGTATTATTTCTTCTTTAATTTGATAAATATTTAATAATATTTTATCGACGGTTTAAATGAAAAATGTTGAGCAATATTGAGTGTCCGATTTTTGTTGTTGCTGAGTATAATATCTACGTCACCATTTATATTTAAACGTATATGCCATTGTGGCATTAGCGAAAGTAGATTTAATTAACAAAAGTAATAGCTTTCATTATCACTTCTTTGGCATATATATGCCATCTGTCACTTGTTGTGTGACCTCATTTTGAACATAGCAAGATCATTAGTTTGTGGGATATAAACATATCTATAAATGAATGTGGATATATAAAAAAAAAAAAAATACCAAAAATTACTAAATATACAAGAGGTAATATTCAATCCCATACCAGGGCGCAACTTTATGTATTTATGTATATATATTTCCCTTTATAGTCAGTGGACTCCGTTTCGAAAGTGGCAGGGAGATCAAACAGTCCAGGTAACCTAACCTCTATAATGACAACCAGTAAAAATACCATGCCTTCCAGAGAATTCTTAGAATTAGATATTAGCTTCTTATGTACAGACACATAAAAACACAATATTTTTTAATGTTATCAATAATAATATAATAGATAATTTACATGAAAATATTATTCTTGATAACACTGCTAGTAAAAGGGTTCTTACAACAAAATGCTTAGGAATTAGACATCTCTTTGAAATGATTATTTTTTTCAATTCATTGCTGTTCACTTTTTTCATCTCTCACCCATGCCTAGCATATCTAGAGAATTTACCAGTCCCATCTTACACTATACTACTATTATCTTTCTCCTTCGTTTTATTTCTCTCTTCATCTCTCTGTCCATACCCCCTCTCTTTTGCTATCCATATACCATACTATCTGTCTATCGTTTCCCCTATCTTTGTCTCTCTCTCTCTCTCTTTCATTTTTAGCCCTTGATGTTGTATTTTGTTTGTCAGAGAACCTATACGCAACAAGCCTAGCTTTTAATTATGTTCAATTTTTATTTCCATATTTAATGATTTATATAACATTTTGTTCATGTTATTAATAACTATGATTCAGGATTATGTATTAGAAAATGATCACACATTAGGGTACTTATCAAAACATGAGCGAATTCAACCCACAAGTTAATATCCGTAGGCTTGTACATAATATATTTTCATATGCTTTTTTCCTTTTTCTTCAACTTGTTGTACATAGGCACAAAAAACGTCGAAAGTCCTGATGTGAGTAATCAATTTTCAACTATTTTAAAAATAATTTTGCTCCTTTCTGTTTTACAATATGCTTCTAGCTTTTGGTAATACCAACATATTGTGAATTTTAGGTGAATACATACGTGACATAAGTTTTCTCGGCCAATGTAATTACTTATAGTCATAACCATTTATTTTGATAACGGTTAGATGCAGGGGCGACGCTTTCTATTCATGACCGGGATGGAGGAAATGCGAGGGACGAGGGAGCAGTGGCGTAATGAGCAAAACGTTAGGCATTTAATTAAGGTCGGATGAACATCCATAGGGCAGAGCCCCCGAAAGTTCAGGGGTTTTAGGCATTTAATTAAGTTCATATGAGCATATTTTGATACCTTACTTGTGACTTGCACTGACATGCAGGTCACTAATTGGAGTGGGGTCAAGGGGGCGTAGCCCCCAGAAGCTCAGGGTTTTTTGGCATTAAATTACGATCAGATGAGCATCAAGGGACCGCCTTAGGGCCCCTTGTGGGGTCCAGGGGCAGAGCCCCCGAAACTCAAGCTTTTTAGGCATATAATTACGATCAGATGAGCATACAGGGGCCGCCTTATTAGGCCCTTGGTGGGGTCCAGGGGGGCAGAGCCCCCGGAGGCTCAGGGAAATTTAAACAACGTTTGTAAATCACTGGAATCGAATTAGAATTCCCGAAAGCTCTCCCCTCCCCCATCAATACGCAAGTACGAGGGAGCATAGTCAATGAGAGGGGTGAAGGTGACGGAAGTGACTACCCCCTCACAGTTTTGTGAAGTTTTGTTGTATTCAAAAATTACTTTCCTAGCAAAACTTTAGTATAAAAACAAGCAATATACTTTTTTCACACTTCACTCTTGTCGGTATATACTTGCAGGCCTACATTTTGAAGGATATCATGCGAGGGAGCCTAAAAAATTACATTCCTTAGCAAAACTTTAGTACAAAAATAAGCAATATACTTTTTTCACATTTCAGGGGGGTCGCCCCCCCCCCCTGAAAGCTACTGAGTGAGAAGATTTTATTTTTATTTGTCTAAACGCTGCACTATTGGGCCCTCCAGAATCTAACAGTGAGTTGCAGTCAGTATTTGCTATACATTCCTAACAAAAATGAGGGGGAAGTGTCCCCCGGACTCCCTGCCCCCCCCCCCCCCTGGATCACCGCCCCTGGTTAGATGTAGGCGAATGTCACCCTCTGATGAATTCAGTTTTAAAAGCTAAGGATTCAATCATTCCAATATACCATTCAGGAAACCAAAATTTGCGTATGTGCATTCAACTTTAACACAAAGCAGGTGTAGTATTCTGAGCTCGAATTTTTCTCTGAAATATTTGTTTGAATCTTTAATGAAATAATCAGTATTGTAAAACTACTTTTCTATCTTAAATATTCACCTTCATTTTATCTCAATCGCTTCTCACGTGCCCATTATAGTTATAATCATGGTACGGTTTTAACCAGTACGCTAACGCATATCTTAGTTTGTGTGAAAGTTAGGGTTAAAACTTCTCTCATTCTTCTATAAATTTGAAAAATACGAGATCAGATGAGAATTAAACTTGTATCGCTCAATGTATGTGGTTTAAGAGATTATTTTAAACGGAATAAGAAGGTAGATTTACTGTGCCTACAAGACACACATAACACAAATGAGGTTACCGGTAAGTTATTTCGGAGAAATCAAATGAAAGAAGATGTTTACTTACTAGGGAACATGGACTGCCATTCTAAATGGTTTTGATTATTTTCTAAAATTATCAACTTTGGATCCATGTGGTCGATATGTTCATGTTCAAATTGCAAAAGAGGAAAAGCCATCTCCTGCAGTATGCTGAAGTTGTACCTTGGATTCAGCAGCGTTACGCCGCCGCGTAATATTCTTGTGTGCGTTCTAACTGCCACATTCCTTGACTGATATCTTTCAAATTTTGTTTGGAGGTGTATCCTGGTATAAATTACAGACCTATCATTTTCGGTGATGCTACCCCCAGTGTTCCGTCTTCTAAAGAGTAAAAGGCCATATTTTTGTGGATGGTTTGTGTGTGCTCTACAGGCCACAATTTTCAAGGGATTTTGTTCAAATTTTGAACGAAGATGTATCTTGGTATAATCTACAAGCCTATGGATTTGGGTGATGTCTTGAGAGGTACTGGTTAAAACTATGCGCAAGAGGTGACTCCAATAGTTCTATTTGCTGAGGGGCGTACTTTTGAAGTCACCGAGGCCCATAGTTTTAACCAGTACCTCGAATAGAATGCATGGTATATTTGTTTCATAATTATCCTGCATCATAAATTTATTTTATTTAAATAAAAATAATAATAAACAAACATTTTTGGGAAAAAAACACATTTAGAACGAAAAAATGTCAATTTTTATCTAAAAAGATTTACAATATTTTTTTTTTATTAATTTAAGATTTGAAAAACAAATGTGCCTGAGCACTCAATAAAAATAAAAAAAATTAAAAATATTTGTGTGCATGGTATAACGCGTTTATAAGTGAATTAGACTGTTGCACCTATTTTCGCCGCACGAACCCATTGTTTGAAATCGAGAAGGCCTGACTCTGAAGGAACAAGGAATCATATATGATTCTAGGACACCTATCATGTGGACATCTACCCCCCGGATAACCACTTTCAGTCAACTACCCCCTAGAACAATTCCCCCTAGGACAACTACCCCCTAGGGCAACCACCCTCTAGGACAATTATTCCCTGGGACTACCCCCAGTAAACTACCCCTAAGACAACTACCCCCCCCGGACAACCATCCTCTAGGACAACTCCCCCCGGACAACTATCCTTTTTTTGTTTCTTTGTCCTAGAGTCCTGACAAAAATACTTGACGAATGTAGGAAGAAACCCGAAGCTACGTCCATGTCATATCGTATAATTTTTTTCATTACTGTATACCACATTCCAGTATATATATCAAACATGTTTGCTATCACTCCTTTTTCACTCCATCTCTGTAAATATGCTATAATATATACATTATGGAATGGGCTATTTTGTCAAAAGTATCCTTTTTGTGTGTGTGAAATGATTTTTCAACTGTTTTATCTTTTTAAAGGTATAATTATTTAATTGATTTATACTGTTATATGATTATATGTATCTTAACTTTTGCTGATAAAATATATGTACCTAGTTTGTATATTACTTTATATTATGTTGAAAATGCAAAAATCAATAAATAATTCCATGCAGGATGCGTTTATACAGGTATGAAACAAATATCGACTGCTGATGTTTCGGTCACGGTTAACACTTTAGCTGGCTGGTAATCTCAAGACTGCATTACATATTATGATGTTTGTCTCTTTTTTCTCTCTTTGCTGTATCACGACATAGACCCTAGAAACACCCTCTACTTCATCACAACAACAGATGACTGAAGGTATTTTGACAAATGTTATATACTATTTTCTAATAATATATTGTCATTACATTTTATAGATTCATTACAAATATTAAACCGTTCTAAGCACTAGTGCAGATGCAAATTGTGATAACAGTACACCAATTTTTACAAAGGCAGAAGAAAAAAAACACTGTTCGAGGTAAATATCATCAATGGGGAAATGTTATACAGCGCGTTAGTTTTCTACACTACTCTATTTCAAAGACACCTTTCAAGCAATCTGCATTTTTATTTTAAAGATCCAAGATACATGTCGGTGTATGTGTTAATAGTCTGTGACCTTTTTTTAAAAAGAAAATCTTTATTGTATTCCTTTTTTTCTTTTTAGAAAATGTGACCTCGACACCGGAACATAGACATGTAAGTGTGAAATTAACAAACATATTCTATGTGTTTGATACGTTTTGACCTGTTATTATGATTTAGCTCCTAAGTTTCAAAGAATAAAAAACAAAACAACTATTGATTTGGTCTCTTTAGAAACATAAATACCTATACATTTCTTCCTGCTCTGAGGCAATAGCCATTACTCTACGTATTAATTCATGACATCTATTGTAGACTCTCCCTCTCTTCCTCTATAATTATATACATGTGTATATATATATATTCACATACCATATTTGTGTCATACATGTATATCACAGAGAACTTGTATTTGTGTATTACTATACATATTCTCAGTTTAATTATTATGTGACATGTACTATGTTATTATATGCAAGTTTGCTTCAGTGAGTTTTTTATTCTCACAGATTGCAGAGTCCGACGTAGGACATATTGAAGAACTGACAGAATCGGAGAGGATTCAAAACACAGGTAAAGTGAAACTTTAAAGTTAATACAGGTAATATTACGGTTTGCAAGCTAGATACTTCTTGTCTCAGGTATTTGGTATAACTGTTGCGACAACTACTTTATCCAATGTTGTTTTCTGGTATGTATGCTTCCTTCGCTTATACAATGATTTTATACACCACGTATCTGAATAATCATGAACACTTAACCCTATTTTAACTGGGCTATTTCAGACCAGGTTTTTACTTGGGGGGGGGGGGGGGGGGGAGTCAATTTGACCCCCCCCCCCCCCAAGATCTCGGCCGTTTCACTGCCGATCGCCGCGAAAATTTGCATACATGTCAAGTGAAGTGTATAGAATACTATGGTAATTTCAATTGTTCGAAAAATTTACTCATTTGCATATTTATGGTAATTTATGCAAATAAGGTCATAAAATTCACATTATCGCCCATAAATCATACATAATTCATACTTAAGCATTCTTTTTCACTACATATATTTGTTAGACCATTTGGAATAATAATACAACACAAAAAATTGGAAGAGCCAGGTTATTCCTTAAGTTATCTCTTGTTTTGATAATTTCCTATGTATTTTATGTTTTTTGTTGTTTTTGTTGTTTTATTTCATTTATAACTACAATTCAACTATTTTGACCCCAAAACAAACACCTAAACTTTAAACAAGACTAAATAACCAATGTTTTATCTCTTTTTAGGAAAAATGACATTTCCATATGTTTTGTACACAGATCACAAAAATTAGCGATTTTCGGGCTGACATGCGAAGACAAAAGGTCATGTGACTTTGTAACTATGTTTCCAATTTTCGAAAAATTCATTTTAAAAGATGCGTAAGACTCAAAAGAAAAAAGTCATAACAGGAAAATTGTATATCTGCCGCGGTTTCGGAGAAGTCGCGAAATTTCTACAGGGGGGGGGGGGTCAAATTGACCCCCCCCCCCCCCCAGTTAACGTAGGGTTAAAAGCTAGTATCTCACTTGGCTACGACAACTCACGACACAAAAACTACATTAAAATACCTCTCTGTTTTGTTCTACTTTTACTTTCCAGTTTAATTGATTGTCGGTAACATAATTTTATTCCATTGATATTTATTTAATCACATAAAGTTGAACGTACATTTATTTTGTTAAAAAATTATCTAATGTATCAGTTTTATGTATGTGTACAATGCCTCATCTATGTAACAACAATTCATTTTAATTTTATTTATTGCTTTGTCAAATCAGACAGCAATGGATCAACACATGGAAAAGGAAATGTGTCTGAAGCAGCCGAAGACAAAAGTAGCGTAAAAGTTTTGCCTACAATTGCTAAAATTTCACAAGGTATTACTCGTGAAGAGATCACAAAGGTGAAGTCATCCGCGCTTGGCATAACCTACAGCATGTGGGACTTCGGAGGACAAGAAATTTACTACATCACACATCCAGTAAGTCCACGGACCTGTTATAGAGGTGGGAGGGGGGGCTATCGTTGCTACGGAGGAGAGACTCAACTATAAAACAAAGAAATGGTGTAACAATTGTCAACCCATTAGGCTTTTTCATGTTGCAAACTGCAAAATACAAATGCATCAATAAATGCATCAATAAATGCATTAAAAAATGCACTATCAAAATCAAGACTACATGGGCAAAATTAAAGAGAAGTAAAATCAATGTGAAGCAAATGTCACAGGAGCATGTGTCGTAGAAAACCTTGGAGGGATTCAGGTTTTGGCTAGTGGAATATTCGTCAGAATAACAATTAAAGATTATAATTGAAAATCCTTTGAACAGAAATGCATATAATGTAATGTATGTCTATTCAAAACTCGCTTGCCCCCAAAACATTGGTATTAATTGAAGGTTGAAGATTTGCCAGTCTGTCGGTCAGTGGAATCTGGTTTTGTCGAGACCCCTGGCCCATCTCCTTGGTCTAGTGGTTAAGGCATGTGTATTCTATTCTGGGTTGGACCCGGTAGGAGATTTTGTAACCTTTGCCAACATTTCCAAAAAAGGATGGCAGTAATGGAGAACTTTTAAGATTTGCAACCGTTATCCTCTGATTTCCCTTCGCATTGCATTTATTTCCATATGAGTTGCCAACGCTGTGGTATAGCCAATATTGTTGTATAGCTTACATTTCTTATACATAAATATTAAATATATGACATGCATGTATATATAGATGGTCAAGCATTTTCAACTAATCTCTCCATATATTGTCTGTATAGCTTTTTCTGTCATGGCGGTCCCTTTACATTCTTGTTATCCCGCTACACCTGGAGCTGAGCGATAAAGCACCGCGTGAAGAAGGTGACCAAGAACATGTAAGTCGTGATCATTTCGTTCTTTAGCCTCGGCCACATCATAAGCCATACTTGAGTGTCAACTTCTGGCTAATTTTTAAATAAATTTTAATCGGCGACTGGGTGGTGAGGGGTTGCAGAAAGGATGCCCAATCAGTCCCACACATCAATGCACATGTTGACGCGTTATTGCAGACCGGTTGTCAAATTATACTCCGATCCTTGAAAGACTTGTAGGGTAAACAGCTCGTTGTAATGCTGGCAAATGTGTTTGGAGCTGCAAAACTGTAGTAGTTGAAATACTACATATATTCATGCGTTTGATCCTGAATTATGAATCGCTGAATCAACGTGCCACTTGCACAATATAGTTGTGCTAAAATAGTTGAGAATATGCTTCTTGTGTTGCTAATTGAGATTATAGAAGAATGAGGCATCTAAAGTTCAGCAATTCGCCCATTTTTTCCAAATAATCTGGCAGAACAACGTATGTCGACTTAGGTGTTTTTAGCCAAAATATTTACGTCCCGGTTAGAGATTTGTTGTTTTGCCGGATGATCACAACCAGGGGCGTCGAATGGGGGAGAAGGGGGTGCAACGACTCCCCCCCCCCCCCCACCCCAACTGTCAGGAAATTGTCGATATTGCTCGATATCCGGCAATGCAGAAGTTGGAAGTCGGTGAGATGCATTATGTCGTTCGGCCGGCATTTTTGTTTTCCTTACAAACTTTTTATCGGACAAAGAAACATTTTTGAAAATTCAGACAATGATTTAGAATCTTTACAACGAATCGTCTTCTTTCTCTAATAATTTAATGAACGTCAAAGCTTCGCGCGGGAGGGGGAAACTGAATTTAGACAAAGTTAAGAGTAGAGAACAGTTCAACGAATCTTCTTCTTTCTCTCTAATAATTTAATAAAACATCAAAGCGGGGGAGGGGGGCAACTAAATTCAGACAAGGATTAAGAGTCGAGAACGGTACAACGAATCGCCTTCTTTCTCTAATAATATAATGAAATGTCAAAGCTTCAGCAAGGGAGGGGGAACTGAAAAATAATTGAGCTCCTGGCCACGAGTTGATAGGGTTAAACTTGTAGACATTGGGACTTTGGCATTAATATATATGTCGGTAATTGGTGGCTATTTTTGGTGGTAATCGGTGGCCTCTTCACCCCCCCCCCCCCCCCCCCCACACACACATACACACTGAAACATGCCCTTGATCACAGCGCAGCGGAGCGGAGCGTGCATAACGTCATACATTGTTTTGCCAAATTACGCCAAAGATGCAGAGTAAGTCGTGTTCTGACAAAACAACATATCTCTACAAAATCATTGATAGATTGAAAAAAGTGTTTTATGCATAATTTTACCCTACATAATAAAGGAATATCATCCGCTTCATGTAGACAATGTAGGCTATCTTGTTAAGTGATTCAATTTGAGAGACATAGGAACACTTTTAACTGACAAATTGAAAATCTCTGATATCTTGCAAGTACCGAAACAGACTAACGTTGTTTTGCCAGATCACGGCCGAAATGCAGGTGGAGGCATGCATACTAATATGATAATAATAATGATGATGATAATAATTTGAGGTGGCAGGTACTAAAAGTTTGGCAATTAGAAAAAGAAATCCAGGGGGGGGGGTGGGTGGGCACAGCCCTATCAGCACGTACCTTGTATGCCTATAATATAGGTGGCCCCTTTCTTTTCTAGACACACGCTTAGCCATAAAATCCCCTTTTAATAGTAAAGGGGTATTTTGGGATACTTAAGATTATACTATATTCAGTGCTCCTAACCCATTGTCTACTGGAACCGGGTGGTGCCTGTATTAAGCACATGGGAATGGGAGAATTTAGTAGTCGACAGGTTAACTATACATATTGGGTATGGATTCTTTTTTGTTTCTTTTCCCCCAATATTCTGATCAAGAATTTTTTTTTTCATTCTCCCATTTTTAACTTTCAAAAATTGCTGAAGATTCCGATGTCATTAATGAGATCCATACAGAAGATATTCATTCTTGCATTCTTTATTCAAAATCACCAACACAAGAATATCCCCAACTCTTGTAGTGCAGGTTCAGTGCCCAAAATGAAAGACATGTCGTCACAGATTTCTATATGTTATATAAAACAAATGTTTCTGTCTTTGCAAAACACAGCTAAATTATATTCGGTAAACCATCTAACACTTAATTTGAAATCGAACTGTCGATTATTTTAAAAAAAATGAGTAAAAAAATCTAATTTTCATTGAGGTTAAAAACCTGTATTTTTTGTATGTACCACATTATTTGTTATTTTTGTTTTGGCTTGTAACCTATAACAAACTTATTTAAACTAGATGATTTCTGATCTTATAATTACCGGTATACGATCTCTTTCGATCATAAGTCACTAGCTTTATTTTTTGTTTGAACACCCTTTCGAATCTGATAGGCATAACATGTGTCATGGATTTGAATGCGTTGTCCCTTCAGCCTTAATGTCAAACACTGGCTTGAAATGCTAGAATAAATGAACACAGTAAAAATTTTAAGTTAATTTTTTTATTCTGTAGAGCTGTGTCCGTAATATTAAATGAGCAGATCAAATGGAAACGATTCCACAATTGATAATTTCAAATTCGCTTTTATCTTTTTATTTGAAATTTCAGTTAGAAGGGTCTGCTGTAAGAACACATCGTACCATTCTGGAATTGATACATTTCTGGCTGATGTCAGTCTACACCCATGCAGTACCAGATTCTAATCTAGACTCAACATATGAACCAAAGGTCTTGTTAATAGGAACGTTTGCGGGTAAAGAGGGCCCGGTAATCAACGAGGAGAAGGTAAGATAACTTTAAAAAGGAAGGTATGAATTCTTTATCATGTCATACAAAGAATAGCATTTGCAAGCATGATATTGTTCATATAGATTTCGGAGAAGAAAATAAGCAGGCTACGTATATTAGTAGTTGCACTGGGTTAATGAACTGTTTTTCTTCAGGATAACAAGATGGTATTATTAATGTACGAACTTCATTATTTGTTTCAAATCATTAGTCTGTTATCATTATTAATAATGAAGGCTTCACATTCAATTGTTCAATTATGTAATGAAAGGGTTTGAGATATTTGACGACAAAATTGACGGTATCTGCAGTCAGAACTGAGATGTGTGTCTTCACTTTATTGATCTCTCATCAACAGCCTCGGTAACAATGATAACAAAATGATACATTGATAATGATGCCAACAAAACAATTAAGTATTCATTGAAATTGTAATATTAAGCACCCGAACCTCAACCATTAACTTATTTATTATAAAAAAATTGCAATGATGGTCCCTTCCTGTGTCTAATATCATGAATTCCAATTTACAATGTTGATGCAAGTTATTTTAATCAGGTAATGTTGAAGCATGTTATCCATCACCATTATTTCAAAGAACAACATGTTGAATAACTATTATATGTCTAGATATCAACCATGTAAAATTAGGTTCAGTAGTGGAATAGAGAGAGAGTGGGAGTGAGTGAGGGGTTCCTTTTACAAATATAACCTATTTAAGGCTCTATTACCCACACATTTTATTTCTACAAAGGTCACGGCCAAATTCCAAGAACTGAAGGACCGGTTAGGATCCAACCCCTATTGGAAGCAAGTTCTCTCTCCCATGCTTGGGATTGACAATCAATTTTCTGAAGACTCTGAAGTAAGTTATTGGTTAATGATGATATTAATAGGAGTATTGCCATGCACTTCGAACATTTTAGCCTAGTCCATCTTAAAAATTGTGCACCCTTTTTTAAAGAGGTGGCTTGTGCTCATTTAAGCGTTTAATATCAGTTCCTTCTGATGTCACTGGCATGTGATAGAAGAGACCTTGCCTATCCACAGGCATAAGGTTATTTTGGAATAGTTAATTGGGGCGACATTTTTTCAACTTGCGATTTCACCTTTATCAGATTTATCAGATACGGTACAACCCTATGGTAGTCCGACACACGTCAAACCAGTTGTGGCCCTATTTCTTTCCTTTTCACAAAATAATAGTTTGAAATTCGCTTTCAGAACAATTCTACAGAGGAATACAACTCTTGTTTTCTTCAATTTCTATGATCTATCCAAAACCTTCTCAATCACTATGGCTCCTTCTTTCCCTTTCCTTCTCCTCTTTTCATTGCACCTCATTCTTGAACTATAAACACTGAAAATAAAATCTGAAACATAGTCTTGTGAAAGACGGTGGTTCCGAGGCATTATGTTTTCAGGTTGCTCGTCCGTCTGTCCCACTTTCTGTTATCGCGATATTTCAAGAACCACTTAAGATATCAACTTCAAACTTATGGATTGCATGTATCACCATAGGAAGACGATTTGTGTCGATCTTGGAGAAACCAGGTCAAAGGTCATAGAGGTAAACTTATAAAATTCCAGGTATAAAATTGGCCTTGATATTGCAATATCTCAAGAACAACTAGAGGTATGAGCGTTGAACATTGTGATAGTTGTATAACCATAGGAAAAGGAACTAATTCGATTTTAGATTAAGTAGAACAAAGGCAAAAGGTTACAGGGGTCAATTTTATAAATTATAGGTATTACCGTCGTTATCACAATGTCACGAACTTCTTGAGGTGTGAGCTGGAAACATGGTGACAGTATTACTATAGGATGATACAATTACACTGTAGGGCTAGTAGGTAGTTTTTGTCAGTTGACATAGGCTTTTCATGCCTCCGCTACAAAGTAGCCAGAGGCATACAGAGGGCGTACTTGGAAAGCAGTTTTGTTAAACTGAATGTACCTACCCTCTATTTTAAATAAAACTTGAATAAATAAATAAATTATGTTTTCGGGTTGTACGTCTGTACGTCCCGCCGTCTAGTGATCGTGTTATCTCAAGAACAGATTGATGGATTCCCGCCAAACTTGGGTCATGTATGTATCTTGCATAACCAATGAACTGATTAGATTTTTGAGGCACGAGGTCAAAGGTCACAGGGCTTATTATGTATGCAAAAAAGCTTTTGATCGCGTTATCTCAAGAACTGATGGATGGATTCTCGCCAAACCTGGGTCATGTACATGTATGTATCTTGTCCAAATTCAGTCCGTTCTTTGTTTTTATTCTTCTATCACACGCATCGCTCCCACACACAGTGCGGTCTCTCCACTGATCGCGCAATTCCCCGAATTTCCGTCCACACGAATCGGGGTCCAGAATGAGAGGAATGGCTAGGTCTACTTTCAATGTTGAGGTTGTGTTATGTTATCAGCTGATTGGGTGAGCTACACGAAAACAGTACAGAGGCTGGGGTCACGAGGTCAAAGGTCACGGGGCTCGTATACAAAAATAGCTTGTGATCGCATTATCTCAAAAACCGATTGATGGATTACCGCCAAACTTGGGTCATGTACTGATGCGATTTCGGTGTCATGAGGTCAAAGGTCATGGGGCTCATTATGTTTGCAAAAATAGCTTGTGAACCGATTATCATAAGAACCGACGGATGGATTACTATCAAACTCAGGACATGTATGAACAAGGCAGAGTCAATGAACTGATTAATTTTAGGGTCATGAGGTCCAAGATCAAAGGGTCATGTATATGAAAAATAGCTTGTAATCAGAATATTCTGAGAACCTGTTTAAATGGATTACAATCAAACTTTAATTTTATAAAAATACTTCCGTTTTGGTTTGTAAAATTGCTCTATGGCGGAGGCATTATTTTCGACTGCGCGCAGTCGATGAGTCGAAGATCCATCTAGTTTGTTTTCATCATGTGTCATGAATAATTTCACCCTTGTCCTATATTGAATTTAGGGCATAGCCATTAAGGAGACGCAGTCCCAATTGTCTCGTTCTTAGTATGTAGGAGTAGTAGAAGTAGTACATGCAATAGAACAAGTAATAACATTTTTAAGGGCTGTAATTCTGTAATTAATTACGAGAGCAGTTTCCAGCTAGGTTGTTGTAATGCTACCTTTTAGATGATTTTGAAGTTTATTCCCGATGAGAATAGGTTTTTCACACATAGACTAACAATTAAACATTAATGATTGCAAAGTTAAAAAAAGATACAAAAACGTAATGAATGTGTCTCTACCACAGGCAGTTACAACACCATAAGATAAGAGAAATAACTGTGAAAAGGCATGTAAAGGTTTTGGATGTGTTATGTTATATCTATATATTATCAAATTTTATTTTGCAGGTGAATACAATTCAAGATCGCATTGATGGACTCATACAGGACTCAGAGTATATGAAAGTTCGAAAGCCAACTATGTGGAGAACATTTTTAACTGAGATAGAGAGCCGTGATCTAAACAGCCTAACAGTGACTGAGGTAAGCAGGGCTGATATAATTGCATTCTTGGTGCAATCATTGAAAAATACCTGTTTCTTTGCTTGCATCAGACCCTTGTGCATCCAAATCGCCAGATAAGAAAGAAAACCGTTTTGAAGTGCAGGCAAGCACCAGATACAGAAGTCAACTAAACATTGTTAATCTTTAACAGCCTTGCTATTGAGGCATATTCCAAGAAGTGCTTAAATATATGCAAAATTATAATCAATAAATGTATGTACATGTAGCACGAAAGGGAGTATTAAAGTGGGCATTCAATATTTTGCTCTCATTAGGTTAAAACGAAGGGAGCAGGAAACAAATAAATAAAATGAAACTGGGCCGCAAGAATAATATTGAACAAGACATATGACACACCGTCGGCTGATTTGTTCACAAGTCTTAAATGGATGATACTAGACAAACGGATTGAGTTAAGTCGCGTCATCATGATATATAAATGTATTCATAACTTAGCGCCGTCTTACCTTCAGGTAGGCTTATAATCAATCCTAATGATGTAGCATCATACAAGGCAAATAGACAGTGGATGTTTACGTGTGCCTAGATTTCACACTGATTGTTATAAGTGTAGCCCAATTGTTTCTTCCATATTTGAATGGAATAAGCTAGATAATTCGATGAGAACGGCTTCCTCTGTCAATTCATTTAAGAGATTGTTTTAACAAAGTTGTATTTTGTGAATGGCTTAGCCGAACATATACGTGCATGCTCTGTAATATTAACATGACTTATTCACATAATTGCGACTTAATCAAGATTTTCCTATTGACATATGTTTATTTTGCAAACGAGTATTATTTGTTCTGTATAAACGTTATAAGCGATGTAAATATGTTCATGTTTATTCAGGGCCCCAAGGAAGACTTGTTGGTGAATGGGCTACCCTGTCAAAAGATTAGAAATGAATAATAAATAAATAAATAAATAAATGTTTATATTTATATAAATATATATATATATATATATATATATATATACAAATATATATCACAAAATCGGGAAAGGCAAATTGGGGGAGAAGGGCACATTCTTAGTCTGATCTGTTAAACTTGACAAAAGAAAAATATTATTAAGGGTCACACTTGCAAACAAAGACATATGAAATGTCAGGATGGCATCCCCAACACATTTTGATTCCGTCTTTCATTGAACCCACCATGCCTATTACAATCAGGCCCCCGCCCCATCCCCACTTTCCAAATCCTCCATAGGGTTACTTGTATTGGTTTAGAAGCTACTTAACAAATAGGAAACAGTTTGTTACTTTGAATGGAATTGATTCAGATTTGCGGGACGTCACTTGTGGGGTCCCACAGGGATCCCTTCTAGGCCCGCTTTTGTTTATTGTGTATATTAACGATTTTCAACTTTCCGCAAAAATGTTATCATTCATTTTATTTGCAGACGACTCGAGTGTATTTTTCTCTCACAGAAATCCACAAACTCTTTTGCAGACTGTAAACTCTGAGTTGACAAATGCGACTTTGTGGATTCATGCAAACAAGTTGTCTTTAAATCTTAAAAAAACTAATTATATGCTCTTTAGTAATCCCCTGAGTATATTGCCTGGAAATATAATGTTCAATGGTGTTGAGATTGAAAGAGTATCTACATTTAAATTTCCTGGCCTGCATATTGATGAACATTTAAATTGGAAGTATCATATTAGTAAACTTTGTAAATTATTGTCAAGAAATACTGGTGTAATTTATAAATTGAAATCTGTGTTCCCACTGAATATTTTACGTATGTTGTACGGAACGTTAATTTTGCCATATTTGCACTATGGTGTGCTAGCTTGGGGCAACTCGTTCAAATCTCAAATGGATAAATTACTACTGGTACAGAAAAGAGTAATACGAATTGTTTGTAATACACACTATCTTGCGCATACAGATGTTCTTTTTTATAATAGTAGTGTTTTGAAAGTTGAAGATATTTATCATTTACAACTAGGAGCTCTAATGTATGAATTGAATGCAGGTCTACTGCCAGTAGCCTTGGCTAGAATATTTAAGAAAAATAACCAAGTTCATAGTTATTCCACACATCAGGCGCAAGCATATCACTTGCCTATTGTTAGAACGCAATTTGCCCTTACTACTGTGGGGTCCACTGGACCTAGGTTTTGGAATTCCCTTGAACCAAGAATAGCGCAATCAGTCAGTATTTATGTATTTAAGCGCAAACTGAAGTTACTTTATTTGAGTCGATATCGTCTAGATTTATAGTTGTGATCAATATTTAAGAAAATTAATTACTATATAGGTCAGTATAATTCTACTCCCATCTCTCACTTCTATTCATCTGTCTGTCTTTTTTTGTTTTTGTCTGTGTTTCAGTCCTGTTGCTCGTTGTATTGTCCTGTTTCTTTTGTTTATAGCCATTATTTAGTAGTCAGTAGATTTTATTTTATTATACTTATTTATGTTTATATTTTATCAGTTGTTTAGTTAGTTTAGTTTGTCAGCACTTAAATGTATGCATTATTGTTATTTCTTATCTGACGAGTTTTGTTCTTTTAGGACATATTCATAAGGTACTCATGAGGGACCTTAAATCCACAAGCCTTGCTTTCAACCAAGGTCACCTCATCTTTCTTTTGTAATATTTGCCATATTCTGTAAACTTGTTATATTCATGTCATATTTGTAAAGTGTGTTATGAAAGAAAGATAAATAAAACTTGAAACTTGAAACTTGAATAAGCATGAAATAAACAAACAATACAAAGAAGCCTTAAAGTGACTTGGTAACATTGTTCAACGTTGATGAAAAAAATTGCTTAATTTGTGTATATAATGTTACTTACTATATTCCTTCTACTGTACTAACCCTCTGACATGCAAAACATTCTCAAACCATGAAGATATTTATGGTTTTCTTTGAAAAGGTCGATGTATGACACCCTATAACAGTGATTAACAGTAAATTCTCCAAACCATTTTCGAATTTTCCCAACCGTTTTCCCAACCGTTTTTCCATGAAAAAAAGACATAAAACAGGCTATGCAAAATATGTCAACTCTTAAACGTCTGGAATGGAATGTAGAGCCATTTTATTGCTTTGTGACGATTTCAATTCACCTAAAATGTAATTAAATTGTAATAATATAGTTGGGAGAATTAAGGAATCGATCAGATCATTTTCCCCTATTTGTACCATGAATAATCGTCCTTTTCACTCAATTTTTTAAAGATTTTCTTTAATTGTACATCTAGCATTGAAGTCACTACCTTAATTAGCACCACTATCTCTCATCTTAACAATGTTACCAAGTCCCTTTAATAAGGCAATGCATTGTGGCGTGCGCCTGTAATCCAGCTAACAATGGATGTAACAAACAGATGCAGCCGAGGACGGAGGTTCGAAACTATGTTACGTCTTTCGGATGGTGACGTTTCAAGGTCGGTCACCAGACGTAATAATCAAATCTGATTGATACACGTCTGTAAAAACCCAATACACACACACACACACACACACGCCATTTGTTATTGCTCTGCCTGTCGTGGATGGTATCCGAGGCATAATTATGTTGGGTTGACTGTCCGTCCGTCCATCCCACTCTCTTCTCATATAAAGACACTCTGATTAGAGTTTGGAGCAACTAGGTCAAAGGTCGTAGAGGTCAACTTACGAAATTGTGGGTATTGGCCTCGTTTTCACGATATCTCAAGTACCTCTAAATATATGAGGCTCAAACTTTTTTTTTGTATCAAAACAAAAAGACGATCTGATTAGATTTTGGGTTATTAGGTCAAAGGTCACAGAGGTCAATTTCTGAAATTACAGGTTTTTGTGGTGCTATTGCGATATCTCTAAAAACCACGTGAGATATGGGACTTCAAGTTTGCTTGAAATATGTATCATCATTGGAAAATAATCTGATTAGATTTTTGGCAAGCAAAGATCAAAGGTCATAGAGGTCAAATTTATGAAATTACATATTTCCTCTTTATCAAGGTATCCCAAGCACCACTTGAGATATGAACTTAAAGATAAAGACCAGTTATGATCATGCGATTGCATTGTGAAAGAAACGTGGAATCGATCAGAAAAGGTTGATCATCTAGCATATAAGTATAGGTGTGTACTGCAAGGTTCTGGAATCATCAAAATGATAAGAAATTTCGCCCAGTCTTGGTACAGTTACAAGCACTGTACACATAAAGATGTATATGGGACTTTGCACACGTGCATGACACGTGCGTTATATCTATCAGGTCCAAAAAGATATAATAATTTACCAAATATATCAGTTAGTAGGCGGTTTCTCGGCAAAATGTGTATGATCACGTATTAGTCAAACATATTCTTTCACATGATTTGTAATAAGAGGCTTCCATTTCATTTTTTGAGAGGGGGGGGGGGGCGTTTCCAAAACTGGTCTTTACATTTAAACCTTGGGGGCAGTGTGTTTCTCCATAGGAAGACCATCTTATTAGATGTTGGAGTAAGTGGATGAGCTCGAACTTTAGTTTGTACCATCATAAGAAGACGACCAAATTATAATTTAGAGTACGTGGAACAAAGGCCAAAGGTCATAGGATTTTTTTTTTAAAGTAGAGATACCGGTACTACCTTTGTTATTACAATATGTCAATAACTTCCCATAGTGCACATACATTAATAATGAGTGAGCATTCGGAATGTTAACGCCATACGGTATATATAACCAAGGAGTTTTAAGAGCTGGAGACCCAACTGGCAACACATTATTCCAAGCAGCTGCCGTCTTCTATGGTTGCACAGTAGAATCTACTGGTGTGATGTTACCTTTGATATCGGAGGTTCGAAGCCGCCAATATCATTGTATCCCCCAGCAGTATGCCGGTGGGGTTCTTTGGATTCAACAGCGTTGCGCCGCCGCGTCCACCGCGTCATATTCTTGTGTGTGCTCTAACTGCCACATTCCTTGCTTGACGGATTTCTTTCAAATTTTGAATGGAGATATATTGTGGTATAATGTCAACACCTATAACTTTTGGTGATGCTGCCCTCAGTGTTGCGTCTTCTATAGGTTAAAATGCCATATTCTTTGGATGGTTTGTGTGTGCTCTATAGGCCATATTTTTAAGGGGATTTTGTTCAAATTTGTAACAAAGGTTTATCTTGGTATAATCTACAGGCCTATATATTTTGGTGATGCTGCTTCTAGTGTTTCGTCTTTTATAGGGTCAAAGGTCATATGTTGATAGATTTCTTTGTAGCACTCTAGTTTGCGGTCTAACTGCACCGTTCCTTGACGGATTTCTGTCAAATTTTGTTTGGAGGTGTATCTTGGTACAATCTGCCTTTTTGGGTGATGCTGATCTCATTGTTCTCATTGCTCTCATTGTTCCTTCTTTTATATGATCAAAGGTCATATTTTGGTGGCTGTCCTTTGTGCGCTCTAACTGCCACATTTCTTAACAGATTTCTTTCAAATTTTCTACAGAGATGCATTATACTCTGATTGATCTACACACATATTGTTTTAGTGATGCTGCTCCTAGTCTTGACAATAGTCTGAGCCACTAGTGGCGATCTCTACGTCATCCTTTAGTTTCAGGGAGGAGAGAGGAGCTTTGTCCCTCCTCCGAACATAAAGATGACACAAAATCGCTGCCACTGCCGGGGAATACATTCGCATTGCGCGGCAAAAGAGATTGCGATATTTCTAGTCGGAAAGCTTGAGTACTGATTTTGTTCACAAAGAAATATCCTTAATATTTCACTTTTTATTTGAACTAACAAGGGGAACATCGAACAGATGATGAAATATGAATAGAAAAACCTAATTGTGTCAAGAAAGTTGCTTACATTGTATGATAGCAGCTTTAATTTGTGAAACATAAATAACTTTTCTGATTAACCCCGGCTCACATAAATTAAAAGTGAATTTGTTCATGTACAGTTTTTTATGATGTTATATGTCAGATTAGTGCCCACACATGCCTAGTCAAGTAATTTTGATTAATATTTCAGGAAATTTTGCTCCATTCCCTTTCACTTGCCTCCTGTAAAGGTAAGCACTGTGTCCTGCTCTAATTATCAGACGAGTGGTAGCGAAAAAGTAGTTATCATTACAAAAGCATATTTCCCTTTGAAAGTGGCTAGTCAGGATTTGTTTTTGTCTACATATCTGCAAGGAAGATCCAGTTAAGCACATGCCTCACATAATATCTCCTTGCGGCATTGAAGATGGTACAAAGGGAATGAGCTAGATAGGACTCCATCTCTTGAAACTTCTTGATATAACACAATTGGTCACGTACTGCTTTTAATTACAATATTCCACAGGCACGCCCGAAAATGGAACGTTTGGGAATCAACAAAGACAAAGTGGATGATGTTCTAAAGTTCTACCATGACATAGGACACCTGATATATCACCAGGGATGTGAGCTTATTGTACTAAAGCCACAATTTCTGAACAGCATCGTCAGTAATATCATTACAGTCATCGATGACAAGAAAATGGTTCGAAATATTATTTTAATTTGTTTTACATTGTGTACTATTTTTATTCAAAGAGAGAAGAAGGAAAAAAGAGATAAGAAATGAAGAATGAGAGGAAGGAAAACTAAAAGGAGGAACACAAGGTTAGAAGTTTGTACTTGCCATACCGTTTTGAAGGAGACGTATATGCATATATATATATATATGTATATATATACAACATATTATATCATATTTATGTATACAAATTAACTAATACTGATTTATTTCTCATCAATGTATCTTGTTATTCATTGCCACGCTTTCTGATGAATTAACTAATCTGGTATTGCCAGACTATAAGAAAACCTAGAACTTTCATATTGTTCTGTGTGAGGAAGAGTTCAGTTAATTTTGGTGTTCCTTCTCCCTTCCCAACCCGATATAGTTATTAATGCTTGGTGTTTCTGTAGAATATTTCTTTTTGTTATCCTACTCTTCAAAGTTGTAATAGTTGTTTACGAACTTATAAACAATTACTAAGAATTGGTAAAACTATTTTAATGCGGTTCCTTGTGGCTTATTGAGTGAGTCACCTTTCTGATGCAATACATCTCATTGTTTCTTTATCAGATTGAAGTTATTCATCTCAACCCGATAAAGGTGACACATTTATCATGACAAATTACTGCCTCTTTTTAATGCACGTTGTTCCTCATTGATTATTTATGAGAGATTTGGACTTCCACATTTTTTGTTTAAACTCTATTTCATGAGTCAATAACTAGTATGGGAAAGAATAAGCACAGCAAATTCGAATTTGGTAACGTATATCTAGTGCTTTAATATTTTTGCTGGACTTATACTGTTAATATATACATTTTAAAAACTTTGGAAATGGTTATACTCTTAATAATTGTTTACTTTTCATTATAACCTAGGGAGGGGACCTACGCGAATATTGGAGAAATCTCAAGGGAAAGGGTGTTCTTAGTATAGAATTGATCGAAGCTGTCTTGAAGGAACAAAACGAAGACCATGATCAGCTCGATTACATAATTGACATGATGATCAAGTTTGATCTGATCTGTGAAATACCAGATATGTCTGGTGTGGTAAGATGTATACAAGATTTGCATTTCATAGTTTCATAGGAGGTTCTCCTATCGCTTTTTTACACCAATATACTTTGCCATTTGGGAGCTATTCACTGATTAAGGGAAGGCAAGGAATGTGAATGTAAATTTTATTCATCTCACCATACCATAGGGTTAACCGTCTTTAGTCAATACTACACTTCAAAATACCTAAGAAAACGTATTAAGCCTTAAATACCTTTTGCAGCCAACATCAAGTTCTTTAGAACTTTGCAGGAATTTTGAATATGTCATGTATGTCCTATCTGTGCCATTTAAACATTAACAGTGTCCTAATATGCATATTATGCAAGGAAACCCGTTTACTTGATAGACTTCACTGTCAGACACTATTGAGTGACTGACTGGTTGTTTTCTCCTTTGGTAATAACATACATAAAATGAGCTGTAAAGGGTAAATGAGCAATTGTCTACATCAATAACCCACTTCTTGTAAGGCCAAACTTTAAGTGATTGAATCTTTGCGTAGCATAAAACGTACGACCATTCGGTACAATGGTCCTAAAATCAGACTTTTACTTACTGGCTCTATAGCTCTTTAGTTGATTCGACAACTAATAGTCGTTATTTTCCCACTTAAAGACTTTTTCAAGCCCTTTCCTTTTAATAAGGGAAGTTCTAAATTATTATTTTTTTCTTCAAATGCCGTTGGAATTTAACCTTTTTCATTTGTTTTGCCTGCAAATGGGACATAGTACCTTTAAGTTCAACAATTACAGTATTCATGTAATTGTATGCATAGACATCAAGTAATATATGGCTACATTAAATAATCATCTTTTTTCAGGGGAGACGGTTTTTTGTTCCCTGTCGTTGCTCTCCTATGCTTCGTGAGAAGGAAATCCACAAAAAAGACCATACAGTCGAATTTACCATTGACTTCCATCAGTTCTTACCAGGTCGGTTATTTTATTGTTCTTTGTTACTTATTAAAAAGAGCATTTTGTTTCATTTTGAAATCTAATAGTATAAGGGATGATATCGTAAGTTATATGTTATGCGATGTGAAGAGAATGTTATCATGACGAAGGTGTGAAGGTAATCTGCTATGACTATAGTCATCGGTACTATACACTTGACATAAATGAGCTGTAGGCCCTGGTTATTGTTGTTATTACAAATAATGTTGTAATGTATTCGTTTAGAGTATCCATTTATTTATGTTTATTATTATACTATTACATAGTTCTGAGTTATATTTGTGTTGCTTTGTATTATAAAATGCGATGTTATTTTATTTACCGGTGCCTCTATAATCTAGTGCTTCATTGGAAAGCAGGCCATTCATTTTTGTTAATGGCTTGAATGGAACTACCCTTCTGAAATACATAAAAAAACGTACCTAACCTGAGGGTATCTTGAATTACAGTATGTTAATACTCATACATACATAAGTATGTCACTTCTTTCATATCAGCCAAGTCACTGCCGTAAGGAGATTTTAGATATAGGCACAGCGAAATGACATGTTTGTTTACTGTTGATGGATGTAATTGATCATTCTTCTAAACAATGCGCCAACACAATATATCGCCTACCACAACCCCTACGCCCAACCTGAAAAATAATCATTTAGGCATATAACGCAAGTCACTAAAAACCTAGATAGTGAATTAAACAAAAATTGTTGATTATCCTTTGCATACAGACCAAAGTTTGCGTTAACGAAAACCTTTTGTTTATATATGTTTTTTTCATAACATTTTATTAGTTTATAAACATGTTTCTGATTATTATTATTATCATTATTATTGGTTTGTTACTATTATTTTTATAATTATAATTATAATTATTACTTTTATAGTTATTAATATCATGAATATTATCATAATCACAATCATCATCATTTTTTTTGCTGATCTTATACTCTCATATTTTGTTATATCCCGAGGTTTGTATATTCTTTAGACGAAACCAGCCCGAAATTCTGAACTTCAAACTGTCCAAATCTTTATAATGTTGATGAATCCGTCATTATTTCGTAGATGGTTTCTTACACCGGTTCTATGTTCGAATGGCAAAATGGTCTATGGAGAAAAAGAAGTATATCGAACCAACTTTCCACTCCAGGCAAATGGTGTTCTTTGTTGACAATCATCATAGAGTGGAGATGACGAATGAGACCAACAGTAAAGAGTGTCATCAAATTAAGGTAGGACTACATGTACCACTATCCCATACAAGTCATTTTGATGTTTCACTGTGGTTTGAGAGTTATGTATATACCTGTCAGATGTTTACCAGTATTGATTCTACTGCATGGTATATTTTAACCCAGGCGCGGATCCAGGGGGGGGGGGGCCGAGCAGGCCTTGGCCACCCCCCCCCCCCCAAAAAAAAAAAAAAAACCAAAAAAAAAAAGAGAGAAGAAGGAAAAGAAGGGAGAAAGGGAAAAGGGAAAGAAAGAAGAGGAAGAAGAAAAGTAAAGGGGGAAGAAGGAAATCGGGGGGGGGGGCCGAAAGGGCCTTGCCTCCCAGGCTGTTAACCCCCCCCCCCCCCCCCCCCTCCCCCCAATCAAAAAAAAAATAAGAGAGAAGGAAGGAAAGGGAAAGAAAAAAAAGGAAAAGAGGAGATACTGGCGTACTGATAGAGGGGGGGGGGGCTTGGGGGAAATCAAATTCAAACGTGGTTTATTTCTGATTCCACAACGGTGTATTACAAATAATGCTGAAATGACATAATTTCCGAAATTTTTCCTCACTTTTTAGTAAATTATACGTTTGTATGTGTTTGTTGGAAAATAAAAAAAATTCCTAAATTTACAACCAGGCAAAAAAATATGATTCTTGAGATTCCTACATGTCAGGGCCCGAGGTACGGCGGGGATCAAGAGCCTCGAGGCATCAAAATATGCTCATCTGACCGTGATTAAATGCCTAAAACCCCTAAGCGGCCTCTTAGATGATCATCTGACGGTAATTTAATGCCTAAAACCCCTGATTTTTTGGGGCTCCGCCCCCTGGACCCCACGCCAAATAGTGACTTGCCAGTGTCACAAAATAATAAGGTATACACAAAAATATGCTCATCTGACCTTAATTAAACGCCTAAAACCGCTGGGCTTCCGGGGGCCGGCTCCGCCGCCTCGACCCCACTTCTTTGAAATTCAGACAAGGATTAAGAGTATAGAGAACGGTACAACGCATCGTTTTCTTTCTCGCGCAGGAGAGGAGGAGGGGGGGGGGGCTGAATTGAGACGAGGATTCAGATTCAGAGGCGAGAACGGTAATACGAATCTTTAATTATTTAATGAAACGTAAAAGCTTATGCGCTTCGCGCGGGATGGAGGGGGAACTAAATTCCGATGAGGATTATTTTCGAGAACGGTACAATGAATCGTCTTCTTCTCTAATGATTAAATGAAGATTAAAAGCTTCCGCGCTTTGCGCGGGAGGGGGGAACCTGAATTCAGACGAGGATTAAGAGTCGAGAACTGTACAACAAATCGTCTTCTTTCTCTAATGATTTAATGAAACGTAGAAGCTTCCGCGCTTCACGCAGGAGGGGGAGGGGGAGGAACTGAATTTAGACAAGGATTAAGAGTCGGGAACTGTACAACGAATCGTCTTCTTCTCTAATGATTATATGAAGATTAAAAGCTTCCGCGCCTCGCGCGGAAGGGGGGAACCTGAATTCAGACGAGGATTAAGAGTCGAGAACTGTAAAACGAATCGTCTTCTTTCTCTAATGATTTAATGAAACGTAGAAGCTTCCGCGCTTCGCGCAGGAGGGGGAGGGGGGGGGGACTGATTTTAGACAAGGATTAAGAGTCGAGAACTTTACAACGAATCGTTTTCTTCCTCTAATAATTTAATAAAATGTAAAAGCTTCCGCGCTTCGCGCGGGAGGGGGGGGGCATAATTCAGACGAGGATTAAGAGTCGGGAACGGTACAACGAATCGTCTTCTTTCTTTAATAGTTTAATAAAACGTCAAAGCTTCCGCGCTTCACGCAGGAGGGGGAGGGGGAGGAACTGAATTTAGACAAGGATTAAGAGTCGGGAACAGTACAACGAATCGTCTTCTTTCTCTAATAATTTAATAAATCGTAAAATTTTCCGCGCTTCGCGCGGGAGGGGAAAAACTAAATTCAGACGAGAATTATTTTCGAGAACGGTACAACGAATCGTCTTCTTTCTTTAATAGTTTAATAAAACGTCAAAGCTTCCGCGCTTCGCGCAGGAGGGGGAGGGGGGCTGAATTTAGACAAGGATTAAGAGTCGAGAACTGTACAACGAATCGTCTTCTTTCTCTAATAATTTAATAAGTCGTAAAATTTTCCGCGCTTCGCGCGGGAGGAGAAAAACTAAATTCAGACGAAAATTATTTTCGAGAACGGTACAACGAATCGTCTTCTTTCTCTAATAATATAATGAAACGTCAACGCCTGGGAGGGGGGAACTCGCCCCCCCCCCCCGCATTACGTCACTGTTGGTCACCATAACGTACCAATATTTGGCTCGCATAATTTCAAATTTGGGCCCCCCCCCCCTAAGAAATCCTGGATCCGCGCCTGTTTTAACCATAGATTGTGAATTACCGCGTGATCTGACGGAAGAGGTGGATTGGTGTCAATGACATGTTTATGCTGATAAAACAGTGATCTATTTTGCCCATGAAAAATAAAGTCTAAAGAAAATCAATCTTGATGCTAAATATATTACTCGTTACTAGTATCGATAATAATATCGCTAGTGACATTCGTTTTTCTCGCAATGTATGGTCAACAAAATTGGGGATATCAATCCCGTTGTCTCTGTTGAAATTATTGGGATTTAGATGGATACTGATAGCTTATTTAACCCTCTGTGACGGGGGTAATTGTCTATGTGGGGTAACTGTCCTGGGAGTGAGTTGTCCTTGTGGGGTAAAGAAGCTATCAGTATCCATCCAAATCCCAATAATTTCAACAGAGACAACGGGATTGATATCCCCAAACTTTGGATGCGTACGAGTGACATGGCACCAGTGTGCTTCGGCTAATAGGCATTATCATTATAAAATCATCATTAAAAACATGGACAAATCTAGTTTAGTTATAGAAATATCGAAGAAATTGACACAATTAAGCGATTTTGGTATTGACATACAGCTTTGAGCTTTACCTGTGCATTGTGACCTATTGGGAAACGAAAGAGCCGACAGTTTGGCTAAATATGCAACAAAAACAGAACACATAGATGTAACTGTACCACGAAATAGGTCTGAATTAACTAACCACATGCGTCATTTTTATCAGCATTTATGGCAAAATCAGTGGGAAACAATAGACAAAGGTAGATTATTATTTCAGATCCATCCATATATAACGAGACTTATTAACTTATCTGGTTTTTGTAGAAAAGATGAAAGGTTATTGCATCAAAAGAGAATGGGAAATTGTCATTATTTGTCCTAAAAATATATGATTTTCTTAGTAACTTTGACTACGCTTTTATTCAAAGTAATATGCTTTTTGCATGTGATTGCAAACACAATGAACACACAGCAAACTTTTTTTTCTGTAGAAATATATGTATTATATTCTAAACCTACAAATGTGTGCTTATGAAAATTAGACATTTTGAAAATGCTATTATTTTGTTTTCGTTGTGGAAATGTACACTTGGGTTGAAGTTTAATGATAATAAAATGTATTTTTTGACAAAAAAATGATGATTGGTTGGTATCATCAATATTTGAAAAATTTATTGGTGATTTGTGAGGGAATGATGTCATAGTTTTCCAAGATTTTTTACGTCAGCATAATATGAAATGTACCTACAAAAAAAAATGAGTTGTCTGATTTTCCATTAATTTTTTTTTTCTTCAGATTTTTCTGCTTCTATTAAAAGCATTTTTTCTGAGATCGAACTTGCTTTAGTAGGCGGTTTCCCGGCAAATTTGTTATCATCATGTATTAGTCAAAACATATTTTTTCACATGATTGGTAATAAGAGCTTCCATTTCATTTTTTGAAATTGGGGCGTTTCCAATACTGGTCTCTACCTTTAATTGGTGTGGATGTAAACAAATCTAGCTTACGCATGACACAAAGTAAAATATTCAAATATCCTGGTATGCATCTCGATTCCAGAATAAAATGGAATATTCAAATTAACGTAATGTGCAGGGAAAATATTAAACAGGTTAAAATCGTAGCTCGCCTTCAGCTTTGTGTAGCGGCTGACCCAGCAGTGCTCTTTTCATGAAAATGGGATAATTGTTAACGATAATAATGACTCGACCTTTATAGGGGTGACATGAAGCTATGTTTAATACCCTTGATATATCCATATAACTCTAACTTGCATGCAGTAGTCTATTACCCCTCTAACACCTAACAATAGTATTTTAACAACATACAATTTCACCATTTAGGCCTACATCTTTAACACAAGTACTTGTTTTCATCTTCTCTTGGTGTCTTAATAGGTTATGATACATGCAGTGGTCCCACGCGGTGCATCATCCAAAGGAACAAAAGCCAGAGTCAACTTGAATGAGAACGTAAGTACCAACCCTAAAATGAACAGGGAGAGGGGTTTATAGAGTCCTTCCCACTCTTGTAGCATGCATTCAAGGATATATGTTTTGTTTTTCTGCAAGCTTTCTGTATTTTATTGTCTTTTGATACAAAATATATAAACATTTCGTCCAACAGGTACCACGGATCTTTAACAAAAGCGGCCAAAATTTCAATGTTTCTATGTGTATTGTACATGATGCAGAATTGTCAATTCGTATGTGTGAATAGTAAGCAAATAATTACCGTTGATGAAGGTGATGGGACAAAATATCACTTCCAAGGCGATCTGGATGTAGCTATCTTTCCAAAGAGGAAAGATAGCATATACATTCAGATCGCCGAGGAAGTGATAGTTTGCCATCGCCTGAAACCAAAAGGTGATTATTTGCTTTATATTCCACATCGGAAACTTTAAACTTCTTCCGTCATTTTTAAGCAACGAGTCATCAATTAACAGCTAGCAAACGGTGTACGAAACGTATGATGTATGCAGTATGGTGGTGTGACCATAGTTTGCGTGTGACCAAAGTTTGCGTACTTACACTAAAATCGCTTAAAGAGGATAGCAATACGCAACGTATACAATTAAAGTGCGTTGCACTCAGTAGATAGTACTACTATCTACACAGTGCAACAACCTTTTCTTCTCCCTTCAATGATGGGTGAACTATCTCTCATCACATGATTTTCTTTTGACCAATCGTAGAGCAAGATTCTTAGTATGTGGAATATAATGACTATTAGATGATAAGCAATAAGTCAAAAGCTGTTTGAGACATATATGAAACTTCAAGGGCTTACCGTTATCTTCTTTGAGATGCACCATCTTTATACCAAGTTTAAGAATCGTTCGTCCCTGCATAGTCGAGATCGCCGCGGCTGAGAGAGGCCTTTTTAGGATTAAACCAGCGTCATTACAAATTAATCTTATTTTCTCCCCACCGATACTCCGTTATGACATGTAACTGTGCCCCTGTTCCAAGTGCAACCATTTTGGGGTCAGGGATGCTCTTTTGTGACATGTGTGTTATTTCGTCAAGCCACCGGTAAAGTGCATTATGTATAAACCATGTAATTCAGTGTAATGAAATTCAAAGTACATGGAAATAAATAAAAAGTTTCACACGCAGATACTATCTGGATTTATAAATGAATTATACATGTATAACTAGATTATACACCTTGGAAGTTACGAATTGCTCACATCACTACCCAAAGCAATTTGGCGGGTGTCCGATTATACGTACTGCCCCCAAAAATGAATATTAACTACTTTAGATAATCACCAGTCATGGATCTTCATTGCATTGGCAGAACATATGTTCCTATTTAAATTAACAGCAACACAGCCACCGAGATTGAAAATCACCCAATGTCCCATGTTTCCAGTGAGCTACAATATTGCGAGGGGTATCAGCTAGGGGGACGGGGGGGGGGGGGCGCACTGCATTGTCTTAGTGAACTTGATACGTCACTTTGTACATTGTTTTATCATGCTGCTAGTAAATGAATTTTCTTTCATTTATCAAGATTATTGACTATCTTCATGAAACATTGGAGGATCTGAAAAAGCTCTGGGCAAGACGGATGAAATATTCTGTGGGAATATTGTGTCCAAACTGTTCTAAACACGGCGATAAGGAATTGGTCCCCATTAGAGATATCCTGAAAGACCAGGATGAGTATGCTTCTTGTAATGATGGTTGCGTAATAGATGTCAGTTATATCCTGGAAGCATTTAACAAAGGTTAGTATTAAGCTCTGTCTGAACTCAAAGATATGCAGCCCTCACGTATATATGTGTACCGTATGTCATTTTGACATATTTCACCTTAAACTTTAAATCAGTTTTCTACATTCATTTCCCATTCATTTTTATTTTTCTCTCTCTCTCGCTCTCTCTCACTTCAAATTTGTCACTGTTTCCTGTAAGTTTCTATCACGAATCCTGCAAACAAATGCTAAAGGAATTTTTTCGAGCGTGATTTAAATTTGCTGACCATCAAGCAATGTCAAAATCGTCCATTCATTTTCACATCGTTGCTTTTGTTTTGGCATACTTTATGATCCTCTGTATAATGTACTGCTCAAATTCGTTTTTGTGCAAACATTTTCAAGAGGATTTCTTTGAAGTTCTACTGTTAGCTTTATCCTAACAGTCGTTAATCTCATCGTTGTTATTTTCTCAGTATTATTACACTATTATCCGTTAAGTTGGAATAAATCTTCCTAACCTCTTTTCATGATATGATTGTGGCATCCTGGTTTATTCTTGACATACACATATAAAGTTTATATACCGTTTTCTCAGAACTTTATTGATCAATCTGAAGAGTCATAGAGATTGATCAATAAAGCTTTGACATTGTAGGCCTATACAGTGCGTATCAATACAAGTACACACTTTGACAATAACCTCCAGCATCTTAATTTGATGATATCTGTATTCTTTTTTTGTACGCGCTATTTAAACTTTATTTATCACGAATAAGCAATAGTATTACAATTAAAGAGGTTTAAACAAAATCCAAATGGGCGACAGTGTACTATTAGCATTACCGTTATTACTATTATTATCATTCTAATAACTATTTTCATCATCATTATTACTCTTACTATTATCATTATTGTCATCATCATTATTATTACTCTTACTATAGGTTTTCCCGCCCAACTTCGTAAACTTAGCATCCGAATTAACGTTACGTTCATTCAAGTTCGTGCGAAATTGAATGACTATGTAGATCAACATTCAAAAAGCTAATTGCGTCGTTCAATTTGATTTAGTAGCATGCGATTTCATACTCTTGTCACGGAGAAGTGCAAAACGAGCATTCAATTTAGAAAAGCATGCAAAGAGCATTCAAATTCGTGCCGGACAGACGGTAGTATGTATTCGAGCATTCAATTTCGTGATTAGGCATCCATATGTGACATTTGTGCATTGCTTTTCATTTGATGTTAATTTGTCACTTAATATACTTCTGTTTGAATAATTTAATGCTAAGTTTACTTGTAGGAATGATTATGCGTATTCGTTAGCAGATATCTGTCATTACACAGGTAACTGTACCCAGAGAAGGTGCACAATTTGTGACTTCTCTTCTAAGAACAAGCTATATAATCATACACAGATCCTGGATAGCGGTTGAGTTGAGCTTTAGACATGGCTATGATGGAAACAAAATACAATGATGAATAAAGAAAAAGATGTAAAATGAAGAAGAAAAAAAAGATAACCTTCTCAATCCAGATTGATAAAAAAAAAACATTTAAAAAATAACCTCATTTATAATGAAAGATAAGAAGACATGACTGTATAAAGAAATGTTTCATCAAAAATAAAGATCGACAGAAAGAGAAAATATTGAATGCAATATAAATATATCAGACAAATAAGAAGATTGGATAATGTGAAATCATGTCAGAAAAGATCATAGAGAAAAGGAATAAAAAATGAACATGAAAAAGTGAATATCCGAATAAACATCGAGCCTCATACAATAATTATGAGGTCTAGTTATAATTTGAATGACCCGATTGCGAAAGAGGTTGCTCATAGACGAAAATGAAACCGCATTTCGCCAAAGAATTGTCCTCTCACTCAACTTTGGCGAAATTGAATGACGCTAACGCATTTCCAATTCGACTGAACCAAACGTTAATTTGAATGTGCTTGTTTCGAAAATTCGGTGACTCGAAACGAAATTGAATGCAAAAAGTTTAAAAATGAAACAGGGAGCAACGAGTGGAGACAATTTGCTCGAACATGAATGCACGTTAGTGAAATTGATCGCTGCTTTGACGAAATTGGCCGGGAAAACCTATATTATTATTATTGATTATAATGATTATAATAATTATTATTATTTGTATTATAATCAATATTGTTATTATACTATCATAATTATTATCAAAACATGGCTCAGTGGAAGAGCAGTGGTTTCGTAACCAGGAGGTAATTGGTTCGAAACCAAGTCAGTGTGCTTGTGCCTTTTGATAAGGCTTTAATCCTTTGGAGAGGGCTTAAACCGTCCGTCCCCCGTTTGCTTACAACCATATACATGCTTTCTTCGCAGTCAGGTAAAACAATCATCAAACATCATCACATTTTATTATCATTATTGCCTTTGTCATTCATATTGTACCTGCTGTTGTTGTTGGTGCCATCGTCATTCTAATCTCCAGTCATTAATTTGATTACTTTTTCAACAGGAACACAAATTCCGTGGGAAAAGCAAGGAGATTCATCAATCGGTGTACATGTAGATGCAGCGAATTCGAGTAGTGTGACAGGAAATACTTTCATAGGTCAACAGAATATCATTAAGCCTTCTCGGTACGTTTTTGCTGCGATGATTCAATGAACACATATCATATTGGGCATTGTGCAACACATGTTCACCCTCAATCAGAAAAAATCCATGACATTTAACCTAAACATGATTTCATAAACTATTCTGTATGATTAGTATTACTTGTTGTTTAATCCCCTTCTCATCTTCTAAGTTGGCGTTAGTGGGATTTGACCCCGCCCCCCCCCCCCCCCCCCCCCCCCCCACTCCGGGGTTGGAATGACCGCATGCGTGTTACCAAAATGTCCAGTAAAGGGGTACTTTTCGTGCGACAAAGTCCGGCCCGAGAATTGTACAAAAAAAGGGGGTATTTGACTTTTCACCCGGAGATTTCTTTAAAAAGGGGGTGTTTTTCTTTTTTTCTCTCATCTCTTTGGACTCCTGAGAAATTATTCCGAATTTAGGGGGTACATTGAGCATTTTCCGTATTTAGGGGGGTCTCCAAGGCAGGAAAAGCCCGCGAAAAGCCCGCGAAAGGGGGGGGGGGGGTTCGGAAATGTTGGCAGTCCTCAGATAGGGGGTGCTTTCAAAAAGAGGGAACGAGCATATGCGTACCCTAAATAACACTGAGTGGGGGGGGGGGGGGATTTGACCCTAATACCTATAATGAACTCATGACAGCCAGCCATGGAATTATTTACCATGAAAGTAGTATAAAAAGAGGTGGAGCTCAATACTCTACATAATTATCATATAAGGATCATAAGGTTCATATTTATTATCCATTTAGCAATGAAAGTTTGTGATGTTTGCATGCTATATGGATTCATAAATATACATGTACATTCAAATTCAGTAAAAGAATTTAGACTTGACGGAAACGGAAACAAAATTAAAAAAAACAAAACATAGCAATTTCATACTAATGCAACACACAATGTAATGGTAGATACGCCAAGATTGTTGACGATGTAACATAGTACAAAATGATTCCTACGTGAGAATGTTAAAAACTCACACAAAGTTTTTTCACATTCCCTAGAACAAAGGAAACATTTAAATCCTATTTTACATCGTCAAATATTTGTGTCATAAGTGTGTTGTGAAATTTATATAGTCTGTACTAAATGCATATATTAACACTGTATCTCGTGGGAACTCTATTATGCCTAACATTCTTTTGATATATCTATATATGCATGTGTAGCTCACAAAATACACATAATCAATTACGAACAATTCTTTCTTATTGAAATTCAAATAATCACAAAACTTGTATTTTAATATGTTATGGACTTCGCGCTGTTAAAACAATATAATCTTCAGGGGGAAAAATCATTCCCGGAATAGTAGACCCCATAGAAGAGAAACATTGTTTAATCGGATTTATAAATAAAACATTTTGAATGAACAACTTTAATGGGAAAGAGTAACCTTCTGAGTTTAAAAAAAATCCTTACATTAGCATGACATTAATGCAAGTCTAAGAACTAAATGTTTACTTTATGCCTTACAAACCTTGCCTAATTTTATTGTTACCCCTTACTTTCGGTTCGTCTACTAACGTGTCAATTGAATATTTGTTTCCATACGTAGATATAGCCATGGTTCTGAGGATGACAGTCTGGATGAACCCTCAAGGAAAAGAGACAAGAAGACCAACCGAGAAACTGACTCTACTACCGACGAAGATGAAAGAGCAAGACGGGACAAACGAACAATGAGCGATGGTTCCAAGGATGACAGTCTAGATGGACGTCCAAGGAAGAGAAAAAAGAAGACAGACCGACAGACTGACTCTAGCGATGAAGATGGAAGAACAAGAGGGGACAAACAAACAATGTAAGTGTGCGGTATGACCTTGAGCAGCGCGAAAGAGGCTCACAGAGGGGCAGAATGTTATCACTAAATACTGCGCTTTGCTCAAGCTGATTTTGCACTTGTCCTTTTTGAATGTCCATTTGATACCAATGAGTGGACTTACTCAATATATTTTGTTATGAAAAGAAAAGAATAATCTCATCCAACAATAAAAGGGATTTCCACTCGGATTTTGTAACATGTGATAAACCTTAATTATGGAGCGGAATATCATGCCGGGGAAACCGCACGTCGCTGACTTTATTTTTTAAATGAAGCGAGTTTGACACAAGTATAATTATCATTACGCGTCTTCCACACAACTGCCAGTAGCTTATTGGGTCGAACATTTTGGAAGGGGCGGGGTGGAGAGGATACCCTCTTGGTCGCTCCAGTTCAGAAAAAGCTAGAAGCCCCTAGACCCCCCCCCCACCCCTACCTTTTCAATGGCCACCACAATATATCCTCAAACCACAAATAATGTATAGGCTCTGAACTATTTTGGGCATTTATCATTAAAGCTGAATAAGTCGATCTACATGATCAAGGGAAAGGAAAGGTAAACGCAAAACGTTATCATGTCAGTTGGTTGTTTAGAATTCTCCCTTACCGCTAACATTCTTACCTTTGACATTTTTACCTTTGACACTTTTACTTTGATATTTTCACTCTGACATTCCAATATCTGACCTTTTTTGTTTAACCTGTGGCATATTTACTCACACATTTTTGTCGCGCCTGCATAGCAAAAGCAAGCCATAGTCGCCCCTTTTCTGGTGACGGCGGCGGCAACATCACAAACTTAACCTAAGATTATGTTTTTGAATTATTAATATAATTTTGAAAGTATAAGTTCTTATTCAACGAAACATAGATTGAAGGATTGTCAAGTATCCCCAATCATGTGGGTTGAATTTTAGGTCATTAAGTTAAGGTCAAAGGTCATTTCAGGTCAACAAACTTAGACTATGTTGTGGCATCTACATCATAAACTTAACCTGAGGTTAAGATTTTGAATTTTAACATAATTTTGAAAGTATACATTCCTCTTCCATGAAACTCAAACATGGGGGTTATAAAGTATCTCCAATCATGTGAGTATGATTTCAGGTTGCAAAAGTCAAAGGTCATTTCAGGTCAACAAACTTAGACTGTAGTATGTTTTAGAACCAACATCAAGATTTTGAATTTTTAGCATAGTTTCCTAAAGTATTTGTTCAAATTCCATGAAACTTGTACCCAAGGGTTATCAAGTATCACAAATCATATGACACTAGGTCCAGGTCAAAAAGTCTAATTCAAAGGTCATTTTAGGTCAGTAGACTTGGATTATGTTTTCACAACTTAATGAGAATTAATATTATTTTTTTTTTTTTTTGTTCATATTTCATTAAAGTTATCAATCTTGTTACAAATTATAGTAAATAATTCTTCTGATGATTCTTAGTCAATATTCACTTCAAAATGCTCATTACATTCTGAGGATTTCCTTTTTGGGGGCCTGTTTAAACATGCTAATGGGCTACCCTGCCGTTAAATAATTTCAGCAATATATCGGGGGGGGGGTGGGATTTTTCACTATATCAAATTGCGTTATACAGGCGCAGGCGAGACCGCCGAGAGCGTTTCCCTTGTTACCTTTGTCATTTTGACTTCTGACATTTTTACTCTCCATATTTTTACCTCTGGCACTCTTACGGCTGACATTTTTATGCTTTCGTTACGAAGTAGCCAGAGGTATTATGTTTTCGGGTTGGTCGTCAGTCAGTCAGTCCGTCTGGACGTCCCGTTTAATTCGTGTGATCGGGTTATCTCAAGAACCGATTGATGGATTCCTGCCAAACTTTGGTCATGTATGTATCTTGCACAGCTAATAAATTGATTATATTTTGGGGTCACGAGGTCAAAGGTCACATGGCTCATTATGTATCCAAAAATAGCATGTGTTCACACTATCATTAGAACCTCCTATGGACAGATTACCACCAAACTCAGGACATGTATGTATCTTGTTGAGCCAATGAACTGATTAGATTCTTGGGTCATGAGGTCAAAGGTCAAAGGTAATGGGGCTTATTAAGTATGCAAACATTGCTTGTGAACGCATTATCATTAGAACTGATAGATTGGATTACTATCAATCTCAGGACATGTTTGTATCACGCAGAGCCAATGAACTGATTCGATTTTAGGGTCGTAACGTCAAAGATCAAAGGGTCATACATGTATACAAAAAAAGCTTGTAATCACGATATTCTGAGAACCTGTTAATGGATTACAATCAAACTTAAATTTGAAAGATTGCTTCTGTTTTGGTTTGTAAAATTGCTCTATGGCGGAGGCATCATTTTTGACTGCGCGCAGTCGAAGGTCCATCTAGTTACCTCTGACACATTTTCCTATGAACATTTTACTACTGACATTTTACTTCTGGCATTTTTACGTCTGACCCACCTACCTATAGCATATTTACCTTTGACATTTTAGACTGAACCCTCTGATCAACCATGCAAAAACACACTAGTCTATAAATGTTGGCTTTTAGATTTCTAATTTTCCCTCATGAAAAAAATAGATGCATTACAAGGCTTCCAATATTCGAAAAGAAGATCGAAGTTGCAGCAAAGAAGCATTTGGTACCCTAAATATCTAGAGGATGAATGTTCTTAAAGGCCTTGAGAGCTTACAGTGAGATATCGACTCAAAAACGTGAAGAAAACTGAAATATAAATTGATGAAGTCTCCAATGACAACCCAAGCACCTAGTGCTAGCTTAACAAATGAACTATCATAACACTTGTCCCCAAATTAATGAAGAGTTGCTCATGGACCGCCATTGTATGCGACGTGGGTGAAAATTCAAAATGAGTTGAGAATTACTTTACATAATATTTCCTTATTGTTTTATAATTTCTTGTTGTATAGTGACACGGTATCAGATGTACAACTGAATACTCTTGCAGCCCGCGTCCCTTACGATAAATACCATCACCTGTCCGACGAACTTGGTATTGAGTACAACGAGGCATCACGTATTCTGAAGCAGCACGGAAGTGACTCTAAGCCAGCGACGAGAGAGTGCCTTTCTGTATGGAAATACAAGATAGGCGGAAGCTCCACTGAGCTGAATAGGATTTTAAATGCTGTTCATTTAGGAGGTATATAGATGCAAAATATGAAATAGATCTCATGTAAAGGAATCCTTGATAGCTTTTCACCTAAATGGTGTACAGAAAAAGCTTTCTATTTCACTATGTTTAATAAGTTGGAAAACGGATATCAAAGTGCTTAGAAGGCTGTCAATGGAGCGTTTGGAAACCCATATACATGGTTACACATTGTTATGTCGAGCCCCCGTATCATTACCCCGTAACCTTAAAATATATCACTAAAGGTGTTGCGATGGTTACCAGCCTCCCGAATAAAGATATAAATGAAATGTTCCTTGTCATTGACGGATGAGATAGAGACATGAATCTTGACTAAGCTCAATTTTGTCTTTTCTGTCTAAACTAACTTACATTGACATTTACTTCCAACTGCAAATTGTAGTCAAGGAAGTTGTTTCTTCGTCACATCGATTGAATTTTAAACCAAGCCCCTCTTCCGTTACAGATGTGCAAAACCCTTTCTCGTGGACGTTCATAGTGAGTGTCATGGGCAGACATTTACTTTAAAGAAACTGTCAATTTCCTATCTAAGATAAAGACATACCTACTGTTTTGTTTATTCTATTTTTTTCTTATTATTTACACATAATGTGTGTTGAGAAAGCCATATTTTAGGTTAAATCTTTTTCATAAAAAGTACATACAAAAAGTTCATAGGCTCAAATAAATTATAAGAAAAACGACGTCCCTCAATATAACTGGCAGATTTATATAAGCAACATAAACACAGGCCTCCAAAAATCCTAGGAAGTAATTGACTTAAGGGGTAATTGTCCTAGGGGTAATTTTCTGGGGAGGGGGGGGGTCAATGTTCTATTAGTTTATTGAAATTATTTTAAGTACCTAAGGCCAGATCACCTTGCATCATAATTTTACATGTATCGATAATGGAGCAAATGATTTTAACCTTAGACAAATACCATTCTGAAGGGATCTTTGACCAAACCGGAGGAGAGCTACATATTCCATCATACGGACTCACTCTTTCCATCCCTCCCTGTGCACTGCCAGAGGGATCTAGTGAAACAATAACTTTAGATGTTCTCACAGACATCCCACCTGAAATCTCTCTGAGACACGACGAGACGCTTGTTTCCTATGGCTTCCAGTGTCTTCCGTCAGGATTACAGTTTGAATCAGAGAAACCTGTCAGATTGAAGATGCCCCATTGTGCCAACCTCATTGATCCAAGAAAAGTACAGGTCGTACTGTACTCCATGAATCACGGTAAAGCAAAAGCTGAAAGTTCTTTAACACGTCCAACTCAGAAGAACAAAAAGTTTGATTGTGTACATTAATTTGATAATAATTTCGCCTTCCCTCTAAACTAAATGGATAGCATTCCAGCCAGTCGTCGTTTTACATACATGCACATTATAATCGAACTAAACTAAACGCATCTTAGAAGATAGCCGTTTAGTGTAGTAAGGATCGGAGATACACTAAAAGGGATTATAAAATGGGTAGAAGAATCCCTGCAATCTGATTGGTCAATTACCGTGTAGTTATTTTTACTGGATGCACGCGATATCGGTGATCGATACCACAGATATTCCTTTTTTTAATTATTATAATAATTATTATTACTTTGATTTTTTTTGATAATTTTTTTGGGGATAATTTTTTTTTTTTTATAAATAGTTATAATTATTAGTTTTTCTTGTTTTTGTGATAATTCTTTGAAAAAAATATTTAAAACTAAAATTATATAATTTTATTTTTAGAGTTTACAGTTTAATATGCACTGACAATTTTTTTTTTTTTTTTTTAATTTTCATGATAAGTTTACCGGAAAGCATGGCTATGGCAAAATCATGCGTCCGGTAATTACCGGAAAGCATGATTTGCCATGCACCCGGTAAATCTGTAATATAACAATTTTTTGTATTTTTGACGATTTTTGGGGCCCCATGTTATAAAACAGATGATGCACTGGTTTAATTTGTGGGTCGGTGTCATTGTGTGCACGCGGTACCTTTGAATTTGATCTAAAACCATTCAAAGGTACCTTGTGCACACAATTCCTACCGACGCAATCATTTGTATATTATTCGGCTAGGCTCTAGAGTACTTGTTGGAGTTGTAGTAGTAGAAGTAGGAGTAATTAATAGAATGATGATAATCATACTGATAATAATAATGATAATGATAATATTTTTCTTAGTGGTATTAGTTTTTATGATAATGATAAAAAATATAATACTGATAATAATAATTTTGATTACTCTGCGAGATTCATCACCATCAATGCTATACTCCTCTTAAAGTTACAGCAAAAATTGTTACCCCAGCAATTACCAGGTATACCCATTGACACCTACGTGGTGAGTGGCAAACTACTACTACTATGTTTTGCTTTTAATTCATTTCATTTTTATTTATATTTTTACAGACGGGGAAGCTGCTCGCATTGTACAAACTTCAAGAACCTGTCGGGTTACATATAGCCATGTGGAGATTTCACTGGAGCACTTTTCAAAAGGATATATGGCCATGATTAAAGATGTTTTCACGAAATACAAACGAATGTCCTTCATGCCTTTTCTTCCAAACATAATGCCACAGTGCAGGAAAATGATGCTGCAGTTTCGCATGGTTACCAAACCTCATACAATCTATTGGGTATGACATAAAACATTTCTCATATGAAGCAATCTTTTTTACTCATGAAAACCCACATTCACCAATGCTCACCATGAAATGCTCACTTATACCCCATTCACAGTGGCCTCAAACACCGCGACAGCAGCGGGACTGTCCCGCTGCTGTCGCGGTGTTGTCTTCAGTGTGAAGGCTCGGACTCGTTATAAACTATCGCGGGATAACACCGCCTCGCGATAACGCCGCGACAAACTATCGCTAGGTTCGCCTAGCTACAGCAGCGGGACAGTCCCGCTGCTGTCGCGGTGTTTACTCAGTGTGAAGGCTCTCCGCTATAACACCGCGACAAACACGTGTGATTTGTTTACTTACCTATCACTGACCTCTTTTCTCCAGCAATGGGGAACATAAAGTGAAATAGAAATAAAGTAACCAGTGGATTCGAATTGATTTTATTATTATGTAGATATTATAATTATCCAAATAAAAATATTTCACACTTCAAAAAATTAAAATATTCTGACTGGAAGCAATAAAAATGCTAGTTTTTTAAAAAGTAATATGATCGAGGATACAAAAAGCAACTTGAAATGTTTACCTTTCACGAAACGAATGCTGCACTCGAGCATAGTGAACTAAAATATTGCGATTCGTTCTCTGCAATTCCAGTAGAATGAAAGCGACAGCAATACGTAAAAGTATAGATAGATCCATAGCTAAATCGAGCTAGCTACATGAGGAAGAGTGTGTAAAGTGCAGCTTGCGCGCGCAATTTCAAGCAATCGAAAACCCCGCGCTGAAGTATTTCCGGTCATATCGGGGTCACTCGCGGGTCATGAGCCATGCATACACGTGTTTGTTACGGAGGTAATAAAAATCACCCGCTGCAGCGTGAATGGGTACATGATATTTATCCCGCTGCTGCAGCGGGATAACTTTTCTACTGTGAATGCATTTGTAGCGGTGTTATGGCGGTGTCGCCGCTCCGCTACAACGCCGCTACAAATTTTTAAAACCACTGTGAATGGGGTATAAGTCACTAATGATATAATTATATACTTTGATAGGATCGGCGTCGTTATTATTAACATGAAATACGTAAACTAAATCCGTACTGTTGGTCATGACTACAGATTTATGTTGAAAGAATAAATGTATTTAACGATTCAGATGATATTTAAATGCTAGGTTTTGCATGGCGATGTGTGTGATATTCATAATCTTTGCGCTTTCTCTATGTGGATACTCCACAAAAGACTTGTGAACTTGATCTGGTTATCAAAGGGGAGAGAGTCATGACCCGGTTTGCCCCACCTTTCCTGCACTCTATACACTAAAGAATACCTCTCTTCATCTTCTCTACCTCTCACCATACAATATCAAGCAGTCCTCCAAAGGACAACCGAAGAACACGCTCACTCTCCTTTCTACTTTATCCCCTTTGAAACCCAACAGCCCTATTCACACTACCCACGTGGTGAAACCACAAACTTATGGAATGTTAAACTGATTCATATTGAATCCACTATGGGCATGGTCAAAGACAAGTTCTTCTGGAAGCTCTTGTCAATCACTCTATAAATTATCAAAAGTACTGCTTTTACCCCTTCCTCCAAACTATAAACTATTATTTTGAATGGGGAGACATGCAATATTTGTATATTCTCAAGTCTGACAAATTTGTTTTTATAAACATTATTTGTCACATTACCTTGTCACAGAGAGATGTTCATGAAATCAGAGAGAAAGCAGAGTATCAACCCGCTAAAGATGATGACGATGAGATGAATGTCAAACATAAAGATTTGGAAGTCACTTGCCAACTAAATGATAATGACACACTTAAACAGGTGAGAGTCACCCCCCCCCCCCCCACACACACACACACACTTTGCCTTCCCATTCCTGTATTATATGTTGCGGGTCTGAGTTGAAACTGGTCTCGACTGTATCATCATCTTAAGTATAGTAAACGTTTTTATTATTTATTCTTTATGTCTCATTTTGAATACAAATTCATATATTACCTAGTAAAATGAGCCTTTAAGCTATGGTCACAACTCAGAGCGACGACCGACCGATTTGTAGCCTGCTCGGTCGCCACTGGAATTGAGGCATCGCCCCACGATTTTTGGAGAATTCGAGCAGGCTGTAGAGCCTCAACGATGCCTGGGTGGTGCCCTGTCGATTTCCCGTCGGTCGCCGGTCGATTTTAGGTCAAAACTGTGGGAAATAGGGGAGCTTCTCCGGGCGGCGTCCCGGTAGTGACCGACTGATGACCCTCCGATTCCTGAGCGGTTTCCCACCGGCCACCTGCTGATTTTGAAAGAAATTGCCCGGCAGCCGGCCGGTGATCGGCGGGGCACCAAGATATGCTCGGTGCCGGGGCAGTCGCTGCCCGGGCACCGACTTAATCGAGCGTTCGCCGTCGACCGATTTAGGTCAAAAATTGAAGCCGCCAGGTCAAAGGGGATTTTGAGCTCGCCGCCCAGTGACCGACTGATCTCCTAGCGGGGACCGGGCAGCGACCGCTCTGCAGACTTTGACCTAGCGGCTTCGATTTTGGACCTAAATCGCTCGATAGTGAACGCTAGATTAGGTCGGCGCCCGGGCGGCCACCGTCCGGGTTCCGAGCGTATTTTGGGCAGCGAGTGAAAAGTAAGCAGGCGCCGCAGAATTTTAACTCCGCGCTAAAACTTCAGCGGCGACCGAGCGATGTCCTAAAAACAAGCGGTGCTCGGGCGGCCGCCGCTCGGTGACTGGGTGAAATCGACTAAAAACTTGCCGCCCGGCCGCCGAGCAAACTACTTTTTGGGGTTGTGATCATGGCTTAAGACTACTTATGATATGAAAGACTGTTCATGTAATCTAGGAGAAACCATCTTTTCAAGAACGACCTTTTAATTTGAAGACTTAAAGACAATTTCCTTCCAAAGAAATACAGATAATATGGCAGCATCGCATCTTTGCACTTTTTTTCTTAAGACGCTGATTATGCAACAGTTACTATTGAAAGATACTGAATTCACCGTGATTCATGGAGTACAGAATTATCAATACCTTGGTCGGATCAATGAACATGTCGGCACAATAGGGTATCTTCAATCTGGGAGCACTAGCAATAACAAAAATATTTTATTCGGTAATTTTTGAAGGAATTGGCAATCGTAAACATGCCCAACTAAATTCGGACCCTTCCGTTATGCCCCAAATAACCCCTTGTTCATGGTGTTGCACAGTTGGTTGTAGCCTGATACAATTAGAGCGAGTCTAGTTCTGGTAGATTGATCCCAGGATTTATTAGCAGTATATGCCGACTAGGTGTGTGGTCAGAAATCAATTCAGGTGATAATTAAAGTAACATTTTAAGCTTAAATCCTGCAAAGCAGACAAGTTTGATATATGAATGTGTTTAGAATGTGCTGTCATATTTTAGACCTTCCACATAGACAAGCGCTTGTCTATGTGGAAGGTCTAAAATATGACAGCACATTGAGGGTTCGTAACGCTCCCTACTAAACCATTATTGGGCCTAACTATTTTACCATATTAAACCTACAGTATGTACGAAACTCTTTTGTAAGAGGACATATATTTTGTTTTGTGCCCCCAAATTTCGCAACAACTCAGCCTGCCGCTGAATAAGCACAGGGGGGGGGGGGGGGAGGGGGGAGGGCGGGGGGTTAAGAGCACATTTTTTTGGTCACCTATTAGCACCATTTTTGTAATATTAAAACAAAAATTGAGGGGGAGGGGTTCCTCCAAAACACACACATACAACAAAAATGAAGGGGGGGGGTCGAACCCCCCCCCCCAAAAAAAAAAACCTGCGTACGCGCCTGATCCTACCACCCATAGTATCAATGCCTTGTATTTCTGTACTTGTTCATTTAATGTAATTCACGTGTTAAGGTGTTTTCCCCTACAAATATATTCAAATAGTATTCTGAACCCTCTTTTCCTATCAATTGTGTTAATATTAACGTTTAATTATATCCAATGACAGAATATCAATGCAAGCTTCATCAAAGAGACTAAGCATACTCTCTACTTCGAATTGGATTTTAACGGAAAAGCAGATGACGAACTGGTGACGCTGAAAGTGATACAATCAAAGCTACAGATGGATATAAAGTTAAGAACACATTTCCTTGCTTCTCGTGGTGGGTTAACAACATAATTTACCTTATTTTTTTTTGTTGATTCTTGTAAAGGAGGCTCTGTGTTTCACTTTGAGTATAAACCGCAACTGTAACTACGTTAAAGTTTTGCAGCCAACATCAAATTCTGTAGAACTTTGCAGGAATTATGAATATGTCCTATCTGTGAAATTCAAACGTTAGCAGTGTCCTAATATTCAAATTATGCAAGGAAACCCGTTTACTTGTTAGACTTCCCTGTCGGGCACTGTTGAGTGACTGACTGACTTCATTTTTTCTTTTGTAATAACATACATAAAATGAGCTGTAACAGGTACATGATCATTTATGTACATCAATAACCAACTACTAATGGCCAAAATTAAACTGATTGAATCTTTGTAAGCACAAAACGTACGACCATTCGGTACAAGGGTCTGAAATCAGACTACTACTTAGGTGATTGCAATCACTCATGTCGATTCGACAACTAATGGTCGTTATTTTCCCACAAATAGCCATTTTCAAATCCTTTCATTTTGAGGGAAGTTCTAAATAAGTATTGTCTTTCAAATGCCGTTGGAATTTAACCTTTTAATTTGTTTGACCTGCAGAAGGGACATAGTACCTTTAAGCATGCTAAATTTTTGTTTTGTATTTGGTAACCAATCCATTTTACTAAATCCTTATATTAGGTAAACATTGTCAAGAAAATGTTGACATTTGATAACATTGGTTGCCATGGTTACCTCTTAAATAGAATACATGATAACGGGACTTGATTTCTTAGTCACATCAATCAAATTTTAAACCAAACTTCAAATTTTGTAAGAGGTGGGATACTCTTTGTCATGGGCGGCCATTATGAGTGTCATGGGTAGACATGAACTGTAAACAAAACCTATGAATTTCTTATCCCACTTATGAAGAAATACATCTAAACCTGTTTTCACATTTTTGATTGTACATGAATATGCAATTATAGCACTTTTTGATGACATGCAAATACTAATTGTTAGTTAACACATTGCATGTATATCTGATTTCGACGAAAATGGTATCAAAATGTGCGTAAGACATAAGTAAAAAAAAGTCATGGAACGACAATCTCCAAAAACGTGGAGGTGGGGGGAGGGGGCTCTCTCCCCCAGTACAGTAAGGGTTTATAGAGATGTAAGGATTTTGCTTACATTAATTAATACAACTCTATTAAATTTAAACTTAAACTCACCAACATGGGGTGCATTTTAATTGTTAGCAGATTACAAAAATAAATGAGGCAATAAATTAAATCAGTAAAAAAAAAAATGATTTGTGTAATTCAATCGTAATTTAATTTATAAGGCAACAGGATTATACAACCAATAACATGAGCATAATAAATACATAGTTGTACAAAGTGAACACAATTTCTTACTCTTAAAACAGAAATGACCAAGACATCACCAGGAAAAAAAGAGTCCGCATCCCCGAGACCGTCTGCATCCACAGCAGTCGATATTCCTCCTCAAGGCGCATCAGCAGCAGCCGGTGAAGCTTCTACTTCTAAAGCCAGGTCAGAATTGTTTCCTAATCGCTAATGCCGATAAACGCTAATAATAATTAATTGATAAAAACATCATTGATGGGATAATTCATATCTTACATAATAATATTCTGATATCGTTTTTAGATAATTATCTAGTATAAGTCAGCGTAGATCAAAAGGTATAAGCGAGAATTGTCATGATTGTTTGTGTTCTGTTTTCATGTAACGATTTGTGCAATGCCATCATCTAAGTCAATGTTGACTTCTATTCAGATTTGTATAGATAAATCTATTTTTGGGATATACCCTTTTTTACTTAATGGAGTGAGAGAAAAAATAGAATAGAAGAATACAATTTGAAAGATTTTGAAGAAATTACGTCTCCCGACACTCATCAATATTTTATATTTTGACTCTTGTTATCCACGCTACACAAAAGGAAATATACCATTTAATCTGGCTAGAAATTGTTTACAATTGTATCTAACGAGAAACTGAGAGAGATAAAAAAGATGAAAAGAATTAGAATCCATGCTTATGCTTCGGAAATATCTGGAAAGTCTTATCAGAGTAGGTATATATAAAGCATGTTATCTAGAACAAAATATTTGAAGACATACAAAAACACAAAAAAATCAAGAAGAAAATAATTATGGTGTATGTATCTACTTACAATCCCAGTTATTTAATGTGCTATACACTGTAATATCGCTGAAGTGAGATTATTATATAAAAAGTTACATTTAATATGTTTTCCATACAAATATAGACCTACCGAGAAATCCAGGGACCAAGATTTTGACGGCCTTCTCAAGACAGTAGCTAACCGAATTGATAAGGATATTGACATCGACAATCTAGGCGTAACATTGGGTTTTGAACCTCCGGATATAAAACGTTACCTACAAAAGAACAAACAAGACCACTCGTACATGGGAACACTTAATATGCTTCGGGATTGGAGGAAAAGAACTACAAGGTCCAAAGAACGTGAACAATTGAAGAAAGCCCTGATCTCAATTGATCAAAATCGTCTGGCAGACGAACTCCTGAGCGACGATAGTTAGTATGAACCAGGAAAACATTTACATTTTGGACATACGTATGGTTTAATTTTATACCATGATTTCTAATTACCTCTCGTTATACAAGAATATACAAAGGCGAAACTCATAACCATATCCACAGTTTCACCTGTAAACATAATTTTTATTTGATGGTTGAAGTAGCCTTCAAAATGGCAAATCGATTTGCTTGGTTTGTATGGGAGTCCTATTTGTGTCCTTTTTTTAGTTTGTTGCACGTTGACAATTATGTTATAGAAAGAGAATGAAATTAAATATTTGTGTTGTGTGAAATATCTATACAAGATATAGTGCAATAAATGAGTCTTTCAGCATTTGTGTATATTATGTGCGTGTATATGTGAAAGTGCAATATGAATTCATTAGTGTGCTACCCAAATAAAGAAGCCAAACAATATGTACGGCAAATTAACAAACAGTTGCTGGCAACTTCGCAAGAGATAAACTTAATTAGCATTATATTTTAAACATTAATAATCGATTTCCGCTGGCAAGAACAAATAAATGTAAAGTTTTTATTTACATTTATTTGTAGATTGTGGTATTTATGTTCAATTATGATGTTAATTTGATATTTTACCAGTTGAGCCTGTTTTATCACATGTTCTAACGGCACATGTCGGTGCCATCTTTAGAGTTATTTTTGTTACCATTGCAGTATTAACGTTACCTGTACATGTATATAGGAAGCACAGGTGCATGTTCATAAGTTGTGTATTATGCCGTTGCCTTACTATTGCATAATCATATTGTTTTCATTTATTTCAGTTGGTATATGATGTATTATAATATGTTAATATTTTTGTATTTTCATCTTGATATTTTTTGCAGATACATGGTTATGTAAATATGATTGTTATTGCTTTATTGTTATATCAGTCCGCTTCCATTTGTGTATTTTGTTTACTTCTGATGTTCTGACATTGCAAATACTTATCATTTTCTCAGATACCAGTTTTAATTTGATGATGAAGATTTAATTAGGCAGTGGTTTTGTTTACAATATCTACTGCAGTCCAGTCAAAAGTGTCCAGTCATTCTAGCATTAATTTCAGTCGGTATATGATATTATATTATATGCTCATATATTATTTTGTGTGCATTTTGTATTATGTACATTGCTATAATGTTGTGAAATCTGCTTCCATTTTTATGTTGTGTTCATTTAATTCTAAATATCCCAACGTAACAGCGTCAGCGCAAGCAGGAAGATGAGCAAGTATTTTGTATTCTCTGCCAGATACCATTTCCATGTATTTTGATGATGCAAGTTGAATGAGGTGCTGATTCTGTTCAGTCTAGTATTAGCGGTATGTAATTATACAGTCAAAAGTTCATAATTATTTTCACATACTCGTGAGAATGTTCTAGGCCGCGTAACACAAAGCTTAGTGATTGGTCGTACAAATCATTATTGATTTATGCGACTGAGTATTGATTTTTGTGATTGATTGCACATATTGATCACTGCAATCAATCGCAAAAGTAAATCAGAAGATCAAGTGTTAGTCTTTGTGTTACGAGTCCTGATCATAATGACTTGTTTATTACACATGACGTAGCTTTAAGTATTTAAATCCATTTTCAATGTCTATGACCTGTTGGCTTATTATGATCTGATATATCATGTGTATATAGCATTCTATGTTGTTTTTTTGGCCGTGTTATTGTTTGGAGATGCAAATGATTGTCAGTCTCTGTTAGATGTAATGATGCGGGTAATAGCGCCAGCTTGCGACACAATGTATGTTAAGATCCGAATATGATGCTATAAAGAACACCAATATTTGAAATATGTTGAGCCTCTAAATGTATTCTTTATTATGACTCCATACTAAAGGCATCATAAAGCAATGCTAGCGAGTGAGTATTGACATGATGGTAGACAGCTTTAATCGTCTACAACATTAATATACAGTATGACTATGCTTCAACTGTATAGGAAAATAAGATCTTTACAGGGATTCACGTTTAGTTTCAGAAATAGAGGGCAACATAGACAGGGGAAGATTGAGAGAGGAAGTGGGAGAGGGAGAGAGATAATTCAGAGAAATAAAGAGAGAGGGGGAAGGAGAAGAAAAAGGGATATGGCGAGAGAGAGAGAGAGAGAGAGAGAGAGGGGGGAAGAGATAATTTAGAGAGATAAAGAGAGAGGGGAATTAAAAGAGATATGGAGAGAGAGATATAGATATGGAGAGATAGAGAGAGGGAGAGAGAGAGAGAGAGAGAGAGGAAGAGATAATTTAGAGAGATGAAGAGAGAGGGGGAAGGAGAAGTAAAAGAGATATGTAGAGAGAGAGAGAGATAGAGCGGGGCGGAGGGGGGGGGGGGGGGTACCGCAACTCCATGCATTGTTCGACTATCATGAATTGCTTTTCATTCTGTCTTTTTGTTTATTTATCAAGAACAACTATATTTACGAATAATGCTTCATAACTTGCATTTAAGTAAATTTATTGTATGATTTGTGGAATTATAACACTTTAAACATTTATTTACCGGTATATGTTGTTTGAAATGTATGGATATCGTTAATGTCTTGATTAAAAGAAAGAAATCAATCTAAACTCAAATGTTGGTAAAGGTGATACCACCAACAAAATTATAATCCAAGATCAATCATACATAGGCCTACATATACATAAGCCTATTATGCTAGCTTATACAATCTGGCCAACCCCAGTCAGACTAATGAGACCGACAACAGACCGACAACAGATCGATCAAACAATTACGTTACACCCATTGGCAATAAAGTCAGTCGGTTTATCGGTGTGACTGATGTGTTAACAGAGAGGGTGGATTGGTCTAATATAAAATACAGAAGTAAAAGTTTACTTAGTATTTGAGGTAAAAAGACGGATATGCTTCATAATCCTATACACCAAGTAGTTGAATTATTCAGTTCGCTTTATTTTTGATAAAAGCAATTTACAACACTCATCAGCGCTAGATGGCGCTGTTCATATTTATGTGCATGTTGTGTTTCACTGCGACTGTTTAGGCCGAATTGTTTGCGGAATATTGTCTGATAATTAGTATTCGTCATATTTTCATTCATGGGGGTCGCTAAAGGGGAGGGGAGATATGTGACACCCCCTCCGCACTCCGCCGACGGGAAAAATGAGAGGGAATTAGGAAAAAGAAAAGGAAAAGAGGAAAGGGAAAGAAAGAACGAGACAAATAAAAAGAGAAAGGAGAGGAAAAAAGGAAAAGAAAAGAAAGAAACGAAAGAAAAGAAATTAAGAAAAGGAGAAAAGGAAGAAAGAAAAAATAGAGAAAATGAAACGAAAGAAATGGGGGATGAAAGAGAGAAAAGAGAGGGGTATATAAGGGCATATGAGAGGAGGAGTGGGAGAAAGAGAGAGAGAAAAAAATCCCATATTAGACAGAGAAGGAGGGGGAGATGGACAAGAGAGAGAGAGAAAGAGAGAGAGAGAGAACAAGAAAGGACAGAAGGGAGGGGGAAAACCAGATTGGACAGAGGGGGAAGGGAGATGGAAAGAGAGAGAGAGAGAGAGAGAAGAGAGAGAAAGAACAAGATTGGACAGAGCGGAGAGGAGATGGAAAGAGAGGGAGAGAGAGAGGGGGAGAGAAAGATAGAGATAGTATCATTGTATAGGGCTGGCACAAAGATATCGAAGCCAGATAAAAGGGAATGGGGGGGGGGGCGAATTGGATTAAAACTCATAATATTTCACAAGAAGATTTTATGAAAGCAAGGGATAGAAGCAGGTCGTTCATACAACATATAAATATAGTTTTGCTTCTAATCATCTTCACATGGAAAACACTTATGCAAGTTTTAGAACAAAATAAATTAAAACAATAAATTAAAACAAAAACATTACCATTGCTGATAAATAAGCCTTAACGTAATGTCAGGTTGAAGGGAAATTTCATAGCAGCTGATACCACCACAAATGTGTGTCATTATTGCTCAAAAGAAGCAAGGGTTAGAGAAATTTTCAATTAAGTATTCACTTGTAAAATAAACAAAAGTCAAAGAAACAATCATAGTCTACAATGTATATGTATAATACATAATTCTGTATACATGTTTAAAAATTTAAGTTTCATTGTCACATAAATTTGTTTCCCTTTGCGGGTTGCACAAATTAATATTTATGAAGAAAAACGGGGGAGTATATAGGCCTAAGTTGTTGTACCGGATTCGGCCCAAATTGCAAGAACCTTCCCCCCCCCCCCCCCCCCCCCCCCCTCCTCCTCCTCCCTTTTGCGAGCCGTGCGGGCTATCATCTTTGTTTGGGGAACGTTGACAGATGTCAGTTTTATTAAAGAATTACCCATACCAGATGGTTATTTCTGTCTACTCTGTTAACCGCACATTACCATGCCATACAAGAGTGGAGGAAATGTGACGTCATAAACAAAAAATTCTCAATTTCTCTTTATTTTCCGAAAGAGCATAAAAATGATGTCCAGATGTCGAAAACCAATTGAATATGTAAAGTATTGGCTGAGATATAACCATCTGAATAAATAGGTTTCAGATGGGAGCTCAGTGTGTTATTTTGCTCTGGCTCATAAACCAACCAACATGGTGTCTGGTCAGGTCGACCCCCAGCCGGTCGCCTCCTATACACAGTCGCCTCCTATACGCAGTCGCCTCCTAACGTAGTCGCCCCCAAATTGTGTGGTCTAGTCGCCTCCTATACACAGTCGCCCTCCATACACAGTCGCCTCCTATACACAGTCGCCTCCAATACACAGTCGCCCCCTACATACAAAGGCAGTACGCTAAGTGCAGCGGTCATTTTCTTTTGTTTTGTTGTCCACCTTCTTCAAGAAAAATTGAATATACAAATTTACCGGTGCTCCCGGTAAATTTTGATAAATTTCAAATAGCGCCTACGACCATACGATGGCAGCTGCGACCATGAAATTCTCAGAATATGTAGTTGTGATATATATATTCCAAACGGTAATAGCAAATCGGTCGATTTTATTCAAAAACATTGTTTAATAGCTCAATTAATATATTGACCTTGAGAGGGCGCTATACAACATAAAAAGTTTATTATTTACAATTTCATCACTTTATACTCGATTTCAACCGCGACAACGATCACTGAATATCGTAGGATCGCATGTGCGTCCAATATGTTTATTTGAACCAAATTCATGACCCCATACCAAAACTTTGTATTACCTTTAAGTATAATGTAATAAACCTTTCATTTTATTTTGATGCAACAGAGATTTACACTCAAAATTTTTACTTTTTATAATATAAGTACAGTAATATTCTTCTCATTTCGACATTATCAGCCGCTTGTTCTCTATTTCGTTCCCTAAACTAAATATAAGGTATAATTATGTGAGGGGGGGGGGGATAGAAAGTTGGACGTAGCCTGTATACTGTATTTATGTTTTATATTTGTCTCTCCGATCACCCCCCCCCCCCCCCCCCACCACCTCTGATTTTGTTCTTTAGTTTGTCTCTGTTGGTTTGATCATAATGTCCGACGTATAACATCAGGAATATGTTATAATAATTAATCTCAAGGAAGGGATGATGCCCGGCGTACAAAAAATGGCGGAATACTAGACAACATTATGAAAGATGAAGATGGACAAAGATGAAGATGGACATAGACAGAGAGAGGGAGAGAGAAGGGGAGAAGAGGGGGTGGCGGGAGATAGAAAGTTGGACGCAGTCTGTACTGTATTTATTATTATATTTTTCTCACCGACTCCGATCCTCCCCCCCCCCCCCTCTCAGATTTTTTCTTTAGTTTGTCTTTTTTGTTTTTGTTTATATAATGTCCGACGTATATATCGTCAATATAGCATTATAATTTTTTGTTGTTTTAGATATCAGTTTGATGCAACAGAGATTTACATTCTAAAGTTTTACTGTTTATAATATTTCAGTAATATTCTTTATGCTATTTATATGTTTGTAAATAAAAGAGAAAGTTTCATTCTTTCTCTTATAATGTTGTCCACCTTCTTCTAGATATAACTCTTTTGTGCTTAAGTATAATGTAATAAACGTGTCATTTTATTTTGATGCAACAGAGATTTACATTCAAAAGTGTTACTATTTATACTATTGTACAGACAGTAATATTCTTCTCATTTCGACATTATCAGCCGCTCGTTCTCTATTTCGTTCATTTCCTTCCCTTTCCCTCTCATTTTTCCCGACAGCAGGGCAATTTTATGAAGGACAAAAGCGCCGCGACATACAAGGTATGCGTTTGAAAGATTAAATGCTCTATTATATGTGCACAGATTAAAATGAAAGTGACCTCTATACAAAAAACAAACAAACATTACTAGACAGGTTAAGGGTGGAATCTAATTATAGTGCTTTCGAATACTTGAAAAGATGAGCAGGTGTTCATGCTGGTCACGCATGGTCGTCCCTTATTCCACAAAATCACGCACTTATAGAATGAATAATGAGAGTAAAATTAGTAACATTTCATTCATTAGAGCCGAAAGCTTTTATTTCGATTTATTTGCTTCATAATAAACTATCTAATAATAAACATCTTTACAAAAAAACAAAAAAACATTATTAGACAGGTTAAGGGTGGAACCTAATAAAAGTGCTTTCGAATACTTGAAAAGATGAGCAGGTGTTCATGTTGGTCACGCATGGTCGTCCCTTATTCCTTACACAAAATCACGCACTTATAGAATGAATTGTGAGTAAAATTAGATAACGTTTCGTTCATTTGAGTCTACCAACGAAAGTATCAAACATATTTTGTCCAATTATATACTCAAAATGCCCGGATAAATCC